AACTCAAGTACAACCAACACCCAAATCTTATGTTAAACAATTGCCACAACCTCAAGTTCAACAAACACACTGTTGGGTTTAAAACCTGCCCAAAATTTTCCACAACCTCAAGTTCAAACAAAACAGAAACTCAAGTTCAACCAACACCTGATTTTCAACTTTAACAATTTCCACAACCTCAAGTTCAAAAACAACAGAAACTCAAGTTCAACCAACTTACTTTTCTGGCTTTTTCTCAAAGATTCTCCAATCTTGACACCTTAATTCTTCTAAATTCAGCCTTACTGGATTCCGTCCTCATTTTTATGTGTTTTGGTCCAGCTTAGGTGACACCTAGGGTGTCCTATTAAGCTGGGTTCTTTCAATGGGGTAGTGTTAAAAATTATGTGGTAATTCTCGCTTCTACTCTTGCGAGTGGAGAATTCTTGCCTTTGCTTCCACAATAAGGTCACTACTTACAATCCCACTGTTTTGGTATGAATAGGATATATCTAGTAATATATGTCTATTCCAATCACTCTCACACTTTCACAATCACACTTTTAACACGTGTTTTGTTCTGCAGAATTTTCTCAATTAGGCCTTTTTCCCACAGATTTCTAGGACCCGCGTGTCCTTTTTTAACGGCTTTGTAGGACCCGCGCGTCCTTCAATTTAACTTTTCCAATTAGGACTCTACCGTCCTTTTTCCACGGATTTGTAGGACCCGTTTGTCCTTTTCCCACGGATTTTTCTACGTAGGACCCGCGCGTCCTTTTTTTTTTTGTTTGGTCTTTTATAGATTCTCTACACGGAGCGAATCTCAATCTCACAGAAAACTGAAAGAAACATTGTTGTGCTGTGTAGTAAATCTATTGGAGAGAGAAGTTAGGAAACACTCTTATATGATGTATAAAAAGAGGTCAAAACAGTTTATACTTGTAGTCAACTCTTACATAAGAATATGAGGAATAATGATAACTTCTATATACATTTATGCACATTATTCTAACATTTCCCTCCTGTTTATCATTACTTTACTCAAATTCTCATAATCCCTCTAGTTCAGCCACTTCTCTCGATTTTCAGCTGCGAGTTCATGTTTATAACTACAAACTCAAGTTCAACCAACACCTGATTCTCAAGTTTATAAATTTTCACAACCTCAATTTCAAAAAACACACAAACTCAAGTTCAACAAACAACACGAACTCAAGTTCAAACACGACACAAACTCAAGTTGAACCAACACTCAAATCTCAAGTTTAACAATTGCCACAACCTAAAGTTCATCAAACAAACCAACTCAAGTTCAAACACACAACAAACTCAAGTTCAAACATGACACAAACTCAAGTTCAAAAACACCAAAAACTCAAGTTCAGCCAATACTCAATTCTCAAGTTTAACAATTTCCACAACCTCAAGTTCAAAAACAACACAGACTCAAGTTCAAAAACACCACAAACTCAAGTTCAAACACGACACAAGCTCAAGTTCAACCAGCCCCACAAACTCAAGTTCAAACACGACACATGCTCAAGTTCAACAAACCCCACAAACTCAAGTTCAACAATTGCTACCAAGTAAAGTTCACTAAAAACCATAAACTCAAGTTCAACAATTGACAGAAAACTCAAGTTCAAAAAACACACAAACTCTAGTTCAAAAACACCACAAACTCAAGTTCAAACATGACATAAACTCAAGTTCAACCAACACTCAAATCTCAAATTAAACAATATCCAAAACCTCAAGTTCAAGAACAACAGAAACTCAAGTTCAAACACACCACAAACTCAAGTTCAACAAATGTTAAAGTTTTAAGTTCAACCAAAACCCAAATCTCAAGTTTAACAATTTCCACAACCTCAAGTTCAAAAACAACAGAAACTCAAGTTCAAACACGAGACAAACTCAAGTTCAAAAAACACACAATCCTCAAGTTCAACAATTGCCACAACCTAAAGTTCAAAAACACCCCCAACTCAAGTTCAAAAACACCACAAACTCAAGTTCAAACAAGACACAAACTCAAGTACAACAAACGCCACAAACTCAAGTACAACAAACACTACAAACTAAAGTTCAGTGAAAAATACAGACTCAAGTTCAACAATTGCCACAAACTCAAGTTCAACAAACACCACAATCTCAAGTTCAACAAATGACCTAAACTCACATTTAACGATTGCCAAAAAACTCAAGTTCAACAAACTCAAGTTCAAAAATTGCCACAAACTCAAGTTCAAAAACACACAAACTCAAGTTAAAAAAATGCCGAAACTGAAGTTCAACGAACACCACAAACTCAAGTTCAACAAATTTCAAAGTTTGAAGTTCAACCAACACCCAGATATCAAGTTTAACAATTGCCACAACCTCAAGTTCAACAAACACACAAACTCAAGTTAAAAAAAAACACAAACTCAGGTTCAAACATGAAACAAAGTCAAGTTCAACCAATCCCAAATCTCAAGTTCAACAATTTCCACAACCTCAAGTTCAAAAACAACAGAAACTCAAGTTAAAACAAGCCACAAACTCAAGTTCAACAAAGACACAAACTCAAGTTCAAAAACACCACAAACCCAAGTTCAACCAACACCCAAATCTCAAGTTTAACAATTGCCACAAATCCAAGTTCAACCAACACCCAAATCTCAAGTTTAACAATTGCCACAAACCTAAGTTAAAAAAACACACAAACTCAAGTTCAAAAACACCACAAACTCAAGTTCAAACATGACACAAACTCAAGTTCAACCAACACCCAAATCTCAAGTTTAACAATTGCCACAACCTCAAGTTCAAAAACAGCAGAAACTCAAGTTCAAACACAAGACAAACTCAAGTTCAACAAACACACAAACTCAAGTTCAATCAATACCCAATTATCAAGTTTAACAATTTCCACAACCTCAAGTTCAACAAACTCAAGTTCAAAAATTGCAAAAAAATAAAGTTCAAATACGACACAAACTTAAGTTCAACCAACACCCAAATCTCAAGTTAAACATTTGCCAAAACCTCAAGTTCAAAACAACACAAACTCAAGTTCAAACACGCCACAAACTCAAGTTCAACAAACACACAAACTCAAGTTCAAAAACACCACAAATTCAAGTTCAAACATGTCACAAACTCAAGTTCAACAAACACAGAAACTCAAGTTCAACCAATACCCAAATATGAAGCATAGCGTTAAGGGGTGTTCAGACCAAATGCGACTTCGGCGACGTCAGCGACGGCTCCCAATGCAAAGTCTATGGACAGCCGCGACCTGACGCGACTTGGCGACCGCCGGCTACCTGCGTCGCGTTGCCGAGGTTGCATCGCCGAGGTCGCAGGACGCCAAGTCTCGTCGCTCCCAAAGTTCAAATATTTGAACTGGGCTGCGGGAAGTATATATGAGGGAGAAAAGGAGGGAGAAGGAAGGTAGGAGAAGCGGGTCAGCAGCGACCAGCCGCGTCCTGCGACCGCAGCTTTGGACCCGGTGTGAACACATCAGAGCACCACGCGACGCAACCTGGTCGCGGCTGCAATTACACCTAATCCGCGGAGCCAAATCCTTGCAGGTACTGACATTAGTCTTGCTGTGCTCAGACTACAATGATAGACGCATTGTGGATTGCGGAGATGAGCCTGTGATGCTTAAATACCGTGATACCCAGCTGTTTAAATCTCCGACCTTGGCTGAATTCATAGCTTTAGGCATATTTGTAGATAGCATATGTAAAGTGTTTTCAGCACGCAGAACTGAACTGGACACATATCTCGCCATTATTTCTGATTCAGCCATGACATAGGGAGGATCATTATTCTACGAACATTACAAATCATTTTCAGCAAAGCTGCTAAGTACATTCAAAGATTCAGCCAAAGACTTGATCAGTCCGTAGTCGACCTGGCTCTAATCAGTTAACAATTCACCGAGCATCAAGCTTTTTCCTGCTTAATCTGCGGGTCTTTCTCTCACCTGGAGGTGAAAGTAAGCCATTACACAGCAGTACGCCATTTCGGGAAGACATAATCAGCTGTTTAAAGTTTTCACCCCTGTCATGTATCTAGGCTTAGTCTGTTGCTGCACATCAGTCTGCACTCTGCGTTATAACCGAAGTAATCCAAAAGGACCATGCCACTTGAGAGTGAGTGGTATTTGCTTACAAATAAACTCCAAGTGGGAGCACCAGTGCGCACTTTTGATTGGACGCTGGTTGCCTAGGTGCAGGGGCCCGCCTTCCGCCTTTTGCGGAAGGAGGGAACTTTTAAAGAGTCAGCTGCTTCAATCTTAATGCAGAAATAAGACAAAATGCAGAGGAAAATAATAATAATAATAATAATAATAATAATAATAATAATAATAATAATAATTTTATGTTTAAGAGAGAGATACAGCAGATGATGATACTGTGGCATCGGAGTCAGCAACTCGCTTAACTTGGGTGTGCTCCTCTTGTACAAAGTCTACGGGTACAGTACCTGGAGGAACCTTATCCTACCTTGTCCACCCCTGCCCACACCTCTAATCGATGCCCTAAAACTGTGGCTACAGGCCAACCACCCAAGCCTCTCTAAGCCTACTACTCGGAGAAGCCAAGTTACTCCAGGGACGGGCATCTGAAATCAGCATGCCCATGACGCACCCACCTGGTAAAACGGGAAAGAACAAAGCTGTCTACTCTGTCAAATGTCCTTGAGCTGGGGAAGGCACTGGCAAAGCATCCCAACGGCTGTTCGTGAAGCCATTCATTCAGACTGTGTTAGTCTGAGTGCAGCCTTGCAATCCTTAGTGCTCTCTGTTGACAGCTACTTGAGAGCTGGTTAAGCAAAATCAGCATTAAAGTTTATACGATTCTGCATGGTCTCATTTTACCTCTTTTGTACCACCTTCTCTGTAGCCCCAACGCCCTAAATATATCCATTGTATGTGCTTTAATAGTCCACGGTTTTGAATCTCGCACTTTTTTTTTTTTTCCTAATATTTCCAAAACTAACTCTGTCTTTGTTCTTTATCCTCCATGTCCCGCTGCCTGAGAGGCCGGCCACTGGCCAGCCAGCAAGAGTCTCTCTTTGCCACTGAAGAAGGGAAACCTATATCCAGATTGCAGCTTTCTGCTCACCTCTGCCTGCTCTGCCAATCCTGCTGGCTCCTACCTGAGTACAACTCTACGCATTCACCACGCATAGGCACAGCTACAACTGCATCTTCCATCGTCCCCGTCTCGACGCTCAAGGCTACGGGTCGATGGTCCCGATCAGCCTTTGAATGATACCTCAGGCCCAAGGCCAATATATTATTATTATTAGAATATTCCTATGCTCGATTAGCTACAAAAAAAAAAAAAAATTGCTGCTGCTCCTTAATTCTTTCCCATATCTATTGCATTACGCATATTCCCAACTATAAATTTGTGTATGGATTAAATTAATCCTGATCCATGATCATGTTGTGAGGGTAACCAATACTATGCAAGCTTTGTAGGTGGGTAGGTTGCTTCATAGTTTCTCGCTGCTGGCTGCCCTCCCTCCCCCGCAGGTGCCTTCATGTAGCTCATGAAAGCTGGGGAGGTGTTAGAATAATGTGCATAAATATATATAGAAGTTATCATTATTCCTCATATTCTTATGTAAGAGTTTATACTACAAGTGTAAACTGCTTTGACCTCTTTTTATACATTATATAAGAGTGTTTCCTAACTTCTCTCTCCAATAGATTTACTACACAGCAGAACAATGTTTCCTTCAGTTTTCTGTGACTGTGTCTTTCCTATCAGCAGGTGGGGGTGTGTGAGTGATGGATCCTCCGCTGTAAATCGTGGGGAGTTTTTGAGGAGGAGCCGCTGTTATCAGAAGGAGCTCGTTAGATGCCGCCTTGACCTTCACGTATTCACAAGTTGTTCATTATTATGCTTTATGAGAGTGCTTACGTTGCTACACATATTTTTCTCCACCCTTTTAGAAACATTGTGTAACCAGGGACAAGACTAAATAAAAGAGACTGGGCGGAAATACCTTTAGAGTGGTTTCGATATAGTACCTGAAGCTATCTCGGTCCATTCTCCTCGAGTATATACCATTGTCTTTCTCTTCTTTATATGTTATCAGGTAAATGTTGCAGGTTTTAGACCTAACATTTCTTTGGTCCTTCGAGCCGGATTCCAATAGACCAGACGATTCCAGCAGGTGAGGTGGACGACAGATAAGACCGTGGCCACGGCAGACTCTTTAGGATGAGTCTTGAAGACCTCTTTGAGGAACTGGACTCGACCTGCCTGCTGGGATCCGACGGTTGACGGAAATCCGAAGCCAAGGGGAAAGACAAGTGGTGAGTTGGTCTTTTATAAAAAGGAGCGTGGAATGATTGAAATTCACTTCGCGTAGAGAATTTATAAAAGACCAAAAAGGATGCCGGAGTCCTACTAGAAATAGTTTAAATTCCGAGGAAGGGTGCCGGAGTCCTACTACTAGATGTAGTTTAAATTCCGAGGAATGATGCCGGAGTACTACTAACTAGTGCTGTGTCCGAATTGCCTGCTCGCATACTACATGCTACTGTTACGTGCTACTGCTAGAGCCTACTCCTACATAGTAAACACGTTGTTCGGACAATTAGGACACAGCTTAGATGTAGTTGAAATTCCTATGAAGACACACGTGTCCGGTGTGGTACCGTTGACAAAGGCCTAATTGAGAAAATTCTGCAGAACAAAACACGTGTTAAAAGTGTGATTGTGAAAGTGTGAGAGTGATTGGAATAGGCATATATCACTAGATATATCCTATTCATACCAAAACAGTGGGATTGTAAGTAGTGACCTTATTGTGGAAGCAAAGGCAAGAATTCTCCACTTGCAAGAGTAGAAGCGAGAATTACCACATAAGGAATTTTTATCACTACCCCATTGAAAGAACCCAGCTTAATAGGACACCCTAGGTGTCACCTAAGCTGGGCCAAAACACATAAAAATGGGGACGGAAACCAGTAAGGCTAATTTAGAAGAATTAAGATGTCAAGATTGGAGAATCTTTGAGAAAGAGCCAGAAAAATTACAATTCCTCGAATTATGGGTAACTAAATTTGGATTCGATGGCAGCCTAAGAACAAGCCAATTAAATAAACTACAAGACTCCATAAGCATAAAATATGGGTGTCAAATGATTGATGAATGGAAAAAAGTAGCAAAAGCCAGAGAGGATGGAGAAAGGAGGAGAAAAAAGGGAAGAACAAATGGAGCTAGTGCATTTTTTGCAGAAGGTGACAATGAAAATGAAGCCTTCTATCAAAATGCAAGAGGCAGATTTAGGGGCAGAAGCAGAAGAGGATTCAGAGGTAGAGGACAAGATAGGCCCAGACCAGGAGGAGCAAGTCAAAGAGGGACAGGTTGCTGGGCATGTGGAAAGGAGGGACATATAGCCCGCAATTGCATAAACAAATCAAAGGGAGGAAGGCGTGAGCCGTCAGGACGAGATCAAAAGTTATAGGTAAAGACAACTTTAATAATAATAATAATTATAAAAATAATACTGATAATAATGCAGAAATGAAAGGTAGAAAAGGCAGTTAAAAAGGCAGAAAGGTTTAATACAGACTGCAAATTTTTAGCAAGTTAAATTCTCTGTACAGTCTCTGTTCTCTGCACAAATGCTAGAATGATACATCAGAGGCCAGTTACGACCTTGACTCCTCCAGAAACACAGCAGCCAAAGAATCCCTCCCTATGCAGAAGCATGTAGCTATCAAAAGACAAAACTGTGACTTAACTGTTACAGCCTATGAAGTATAAGTTGTACTTGTAAACATGTCACTGGAGAAGAAGAGGTTTTTTGACCTCAGCTGGCATCCCTGTTAAACATTTGAACCAACTGATTGATATTATACCTTATTGGAACTTAAAGAAGTAACCATAGTAAAGTGCAGAGAACACCAAAGCTAACTTGGAATTAAAAACCCTCTCTATAATGCTATTTAACGTAAGATTAACTCCAAATGTGACAATGAATTTCATACTATATGAGAAAATATAAAATTACGACTATGAGATAATAGGAGAGATGATAAAACCATTTGATGACTATGACAGAGAGAACAAGGAAGAAGCAGGTTCAGAGGCAGGAATTTCAATAGAGAAAACAATAGAGGAAGTAGAAGTTTTGACAAAAGTTATGAATCACAGGAGCAAAGAGATAAAGAACAGTACCCTGACCAAGGTCATGAACCACAACATCAGAGAATTGTAGAGCTTTTTTGTCACTAGGTGAAGAGCTGTAGAAAAACGTATCAAGCAGGACTAGAAGAGGGAGAGACAGCAAACGTTATTCGACAGACATAAAGAGAAAGTGTGAACAGAGACGAGACAGAGGAGGAAGAAGTGCTAAACTTGGAGAAGATAAATAAATATATAAAGATATTTTTGATAGATAGATGAATATACTTTATTGATCCCAAACTGGGAAATTCTCTTGTTACAGCAGCAAAAAGAAAATGCAAAATAAAATTAAACATAATAAGAAGTACAATGCAGACTAAAAATAATAAAAATACTAAGTATATACCAGAAATACAGGCTAAATATACTAAACATCCTAAGAGATAAAAGTGAGATATGAAGAACGTGGACTATTGAAATTAGTAATAAATATGAAATGAGAAATATTACGGATGGGATGATAGATATACAGACAATTTAAGGTGCTCGGTAATATGATGTGATAGGAGTTTTTAAGAATGGACTATACAGCAGACAGGCGTGAGTCCCTGTCTGACATATGTGAGTTATTTAACAGTGCAATAACTTGTGGCAGGACAGATTTCCTGTATCAGCGGAGCTGCAACGGTCTGTTGGAGAAGGAATACATTGTGCAGACATAAAACCGCAGATATAGTTAATGATTCAGGGTTTACCCTTAACCTTTTTGTGTGACTCAGGTGCAAAGAAAACAGTTCTTAGACATAAACTATCACAGATTAGGTTTTCCAAACAAAAGATTTTTGTCAGATCAACACACAGAGAGAGCTTTAAAGATAGTAATAGCGAGTCATGGGCCTTGCCATGTCTCGATAGGAGGGAGGAGTGTAGTAGTTAACCCTATTGATTCATAAATTATTTAAAAAATAAATAGATAATTAACTATTTGATTTGTTCAGTTTGTGGTAGACATAATGCTCAAGACAGTATAAAACCAAAAAGAGGCAAATCTCCACCAACCAATGCATTATTTGAACATGGACTTCATAGAATTAAATCAGTATAAGAGAAAGAAATACTGTTCAGTGTTAATAGATCCTTTCACTAAATGGATAGAATTATTTCCTGTTACCCATCCAGATGCATTAACAGTAGTAAAAATCCTGTGTAGAGAAATAATTTCTTGATTTGGCATTCCAAAATGAATCTACAGTGAATGGAACTCATTTTGTAAATGAAATAAATAAATAAATAATAATAACTTGAAAATGCAATTTCTGAAGAAAGTGCGAGATGGATTGCTCCAGCTAAAATTGTAATTGCTAAGCTGCTATTGTAAATGGTTTAAGTTCAAAAATTATGCGAAAGATATGAGATTTGAAGATTCAGAAAGGGTTGAATCAGTTTAAATGAGTTGAAATTAGTTTAAAAAAAAATTGAATACTGAATGAAGAATGAAATGATTTAAAACTAAAAAATTAAAATGATCATAATCTGAATGTATAGAGGAGTTGAAGTCTTTTAAAGTTGTGTAAAGAAAATGTGAGAAAAGGGCCAATTTAAAAATTCCGTAATGTATTTCTAATAAGAAAAATTGGTTGGAAAACCTGGAATATCCCGGAAAGGAAGAATGTTAGGAAAATTTTGAATATAAGCTGGAATCTCCTGAAGTTTGAATGGTTTTTAATACGTTGAAGTAAGTGGAAGGAATTAAAAAAAATAAAGGTACTGCTAATGACACCCACAGCAGTAAAAATAGCACAAAGAATTAGTTGGATACATCTTTCCCATTGCAAAAAAAAAAAACCTATATGGGTTTTAGTCAGGGAAGTCTGACTTCAAAGGGGGGCGTCCTTATAGTGGGCGTTCGTCTCAATGTCAGTGAAGATTAGATGGTGTTTAATTCCTTAGGAGCTTAGGAAAATGGGGAAGTTAAGTATCTTACGTCTGCTAAACCTGAAACTGTTAATTTACCTACTGAAACATTATTTACAACTTCAGATGAACTTAAGGAAGGAAAGAGAAGTGACAACAACAATAGTCCTCACATCCTGTGTGACAACCAATCAAAAATCACATTCAGCTGTTCTGAAGGCGACCATGTGCAGAGAAGAAACCTGAGAGACAGTGAGCAGGGGTATGAATCACCCAGACGGACACCACAGTTGCTTCATGTGGTGAAGACATTGAGAACTTTACCATAGCTTAACTGCTACTAGGCGTTTGTGTTATTCTGTTTACAATGGGATTTTGTGTATGCTTGTTTTGTCAATAAACACTTACACTTATGTTTATTAAAGGTAGATCACAAAATTAAAAAAAATAAAAAAATAAAAAAAATGGTGGAAGAATAATATTAATAAAGATATGAATAACATATAGTGGAATGCTTCGCAATCCCTCTCAATAAAAAAAATAATAATAATAATAATTTGAAGTAAACATGTGGTACAGATATGCAAAATATCTAGCAAAAATGAAGAATCAGTCTAACTTCTATGTCTGTACTAGGAATTCCCTAACCATAACAAACCTGTACGTGTTTTCTGTAGCTGTACCTGAATGACAGCAGACTGATAATAGGGCCTTAGTGACTTTAATCCTAACTGTTGTAACTTTCCAGACCAGTGTGACAAATTTAACCTCTGCAGTTAGTCTTATTCCTTTGTTGAGCCACTCCAGAGTAAAAGAAATTAGCAAACAGAGTCAGACCCGACTTATATAGATAGTTCCTCGTGTAATGAGACAACTGCTTTCTGCTATCCACCTTGAATTCACCCCTCAAAGGAATGCAGGCTCCCCTGGTTTGGACAGGAAATGGGGGAGTAACGGTTTGCACACCAAGTTCCCATTTACGACCCAAGAAACCATTGGGGAGGTGATAGTGAATCTTTAATGCTTCCTAAAAGGACAAGTTGCTTATCAACCACACAGACCCATAAACACGGAGCCTTTCTCCCTGGCTGGGAAAGATCAGAATTGACACTTCAGGATTAACCATTGACCTAAAAGGAAAACAAAGCATTTGGCGCCAAGTCTGAAAAACCAGATACCTGCCATAAAATCTCCATGGCTTTCTTTACTGAGCAGAAGGAAGAGGATGCCTGAAAATTGTTTAACTTCATGTTTAATGGACATGTCACCAGAATTTTCTGTCTGCACACCACATTCTTAATGAAATGGTCTTTTTCCCAACTTTGTAGCATATCCACAAGCCAAACTGTTAACTTCACAAATTTATTCCAGGTTTTCCATGGATCAAGAGCTCCTCCTAGTGGTGATGCCTGAATATGGTTTGATCAGAGCCAAATGGCAGGAATCTAATCATGTGTATTTCTTCCCTTTTTGTTTTATACGCTTCGTAGCTTAGTAAATGGTATTCCCAAGATAGGCTAGTAGTTTAGAAGTAGTAACGTGAAACTCGTTTAGACTCAAGTTAAGAGTTTCTGAATGTATCCATACTATGCTTTTGTCTACCTCACATAAATATATATACATTAATCATCTATGAAGCTTGATTGACAAGGGTATAGTGTTGTCAAATATTATTACGGATGTGTTTCTTATGCTGGATGGTGTTTCTGTTCGAATAGATAATTTGTTTTCTGTCCCTCTCTAACTTTTAAAAGTCCTCTGTATTATCAAGAAGGCAGCTGATCAAAAGTTTACTGGTTTCAATGTCATGCTTTAATGCATCTGCTCATAAGAAACAATGAAGTAAATGTGATCGAATGTGATGTTACAAACTGTTTAATCATAGTGAGTGAGTAAATTAGATCTAGCTCGCTTTTACTATCAAGTTGAGTTAATTCGCTGCCAGTCGATGGGCTGCATTGGGGAGGTCCCCCCCTTCTCTCATCTTTGGTTCACGCCTACGGTGAATCGCTTAAAAGAGTTGAGATTTTGCCGCCTCTTCAGTCCTGTTTTAGTTTAGTCTTGTTTTAGTTTTGTCTCTTGTGTTTTCGTTTCTTCTTCGTTTTACCTCTTCGTTAGTTTTTCTCTTCGTCTAGTTTTCTGTCTTCGTCTATCGTTCGCAATTTTCCCCGCGTTTTATTAATTGCCTTAAGCTCAGATTTTTCTTCTAAACTTGGATGAAACATTCCCAAGTCCCTTTAAAGCCTCAGTAACAAGCTGCGCGCATAAGATAACCTCAGTCTAAGTCTTTTTATTTATTTTTGTTCGCTAAAGTGACTCCTGAAGATAATATCGGCTGGCCAGCGAAATTATTTTCTTAAGTTATTGGCGCGAATTAATCTGCAACCAAGCAAGTCCTGAACGCCGACCAGCATCATCTGCCAAGCTGCTTTGCCACCTGGTTCCGAGAGGCCCAGAGATCCGAAGTATCTAACGGCGCTGACACGGTCCTGAAGCTGAGATCCAGACACGGCGGAAGAACTCCCCGCCGAACCTTCAGTATCCGGTCCGGTAGCCACAGAACTTCAGCTGATCCATTCCAAGAGTGCCGCTGAGAACCGACGTCCAAAGTAGGCTAAAACCTCTAAACTGCTGTGTTGAGAACTGGGTGATGCCGTCAACCGTTCAGTAGCTTACTCTTATAAGTTATAGTTTAGTTCTCCAAATTCCTTTTATTTACCCTCGTAACTCCGTTAACGTAGGTTAAATTTCCCCTTATTCACTCACTATTATTAACCTCCAGTCTTAGGTTTAACTTAAACCATTCCTTCGTTTATTCATTAGATGTGCTTTGATTTGCTCATTATTTGATCATCATTTATTGACGTTTGTTATTATATAGCTTGTTAATAAATTGTCCATTTAATTTTAAGTTGTCGTCTTAGTGGTCTTTCAGAAAGTAGTCCCTGAATGAAGAATTCCGGCCTCAGATGAGAGACTGATTTAAATCTGTTTAAGACTGATCCAACGTTTAATTACTCAATTGAACTTTGTTTCGTCCTTTTCCCACCAGAAAGGTGGGTGGTGCCCCTTCAACGAGTGCATAAATTTCACAATTTAATTTGATTAATTTTCGACATTTATTTTTAATTTGAAATCGCTACACTCGTGAGGTACCAGATGAGTATAAACTAGTAAATCAAGTTGTTGCAGGCTTTGAGTCTCTCGTCTGTCCTTGGTGTACAATGAACAAAAATATAGATCAAATCAGAATCAACTACATCCATTTCAACGTTCAAAAGCTAGGTAATTGAACTGAGGCTGGTTTTCAGGCCGTTCACTCGCAGTTATCTGCAACATCCCTGATGGCTTTCCAAAACCGTATAGCCCTTGACATGCTGCTGGCAGAAACAGGAGGTGTATGTGCCATGTTTGGAGAAACGTGTCACACGTTCATTCCTGATAACACTGCTGCTGATGGCAGCCTCACTCGAGCCATAGAGGGCCTAAAATGCTTAACAGCAAAATGAAAGACCACTCAGGAATAGATAACTCCTTTTGGGACAATTGGATGAATGTATTTGGAAAATACAAAAATCTTGTAGATTCAGTCCTAATCTCTGTTGCTGTTTTTGCAGCTAATTTGACCTTGTGTGGATGTTGTTGTATTTCTGTATTTGTTCTCTTCTTAACCGTCTTATCACCACAGCGTTGTCCCCTGTGGAGCAGCAGATGCAGGAGCTGTACCCGCTGCTCCATCAGCAGGACGAGGAGGACAGACTTGATGACACTCAATGGCCTGACCTGTGCCCCAATCCGGATGATGAGTATAATTCTGATTAAAGCAACACCTTGTACCTCCGTGTGTAAATTCTTTGTAGTTATAAACATGAACTCGCAGCTGAAAATCGAGAGAAGTGGCTGAACTAGAGGGATTATTAGAATTTGAGCAAAGTAATGATAAACAGGAGGGAAATGTTAGAATAATGTGCATAAATGTATATAGAAGTTATCATTATTCCTCATATTCTTATGTAAGAGTTTATACTACAAGTGTAAACTGCTTTGACCTCTTTTTATACATTATATAAGAGTGTTTCCTAACTTCTCTCTCCAATAGATTTACTACACAGCAGAACAATGTTTCCTTCAGTTTTCTGTGACTGTGTCTTTCCTATCAGCAGGTGGGGGTGTGTGAGTGATGGATCCTCCGCTGTAAATCGTGGGGAGTTTTTGAGGAGGTGCCGCTGTTATCAGAAGGAGCTCGTTAGATGCCGCCTTGACCTTCACATATTCACAAGTTGTTCATTATTATGCTTTATGAGAGTGCTTACGTTGCTACACATATTTTTCTCCACCCTTTTAGAAACATTGTGTAACCAGGGACAAGACTAAATAAAAGAGACTGGGCGGAAATACCTTTAGAGTGGTTTCGATATAGTACCTGAAGCTATCTCGGTCCATTCTCCTCGAGTATATACCATTGTCTTTCTCTTCTTTATATGTTATCAGGTAAATGTTGCAGGTTTTAGACCTAACAGGAGGGTTGCCAGTATGGCTGCTGCTTTTTCTGCCTTGGATTTTCATATATGCACATGAAAGGGAGGGGAGGGCATTCCCTCTCATTGCCTTGGGATTCTATGCAAGCGCATGAGAGAGCAGGGAACTCTCAGAACAGAGCCATACCGACAATGTTAAAAATTTTTTTGCTAGTAATAAATAATTGATTCTAACTAAAGTAGTCCTGACTGAAATTAAGCATGGCTGTAGTTCAGGCAGGACACAAGGTACAGTCAAGCTAAAGGTTAAAGCCAGCTGATCTTAAGCTAGCCCTCAGTCAGATGACAGCTTAGCTGATCGCCCTCCACACATCCTTCAGATCGCTACATGGCTCATTCCTTTCACATAGGTGCAGCTACAACCGCAGCTATGACGGCTCCTGTGCCGACCCTCAAAGCCATGGGCCAATAGTCGTCAGCTGCGTACAAACGCTATCTGCGCCCCGAGGCTCGGGACATTCTCGAAGCCCAAAAACTATGAGTACCCATAACTTTGGCACATAGATGCTAATTAAATGAAATATATAAACAACCCGCAGATAAATATCCATGCTTGGGCAATGGGTCTCTCTAACCCGTCTTTCTTTCAGCAGCGCTCACCTCCCCTGCTAGCTCCTAGACTGCACGGCATGGTTGTTTTGGGGGGGGGTTCTGTTCATTGCTGCTCTACCCCCGCCTCCTCCGCCTTCATGATGGCACATGGAGGGCGGGAAGGTGCTTTTCCTGCCGCTGGCCTTTCACCCCTGCCAACGTGGAGAACGGGGGCCCTGAACAGAACCTCGCGTGCGCTCCCTGCTATCGCCTTTCATGATGATTCGTGAAGGGCAGGAAGGGGCTCTTCCTGCCTCGGGCTTCCACACAAGCGCGTGGAAGGGCAGGGACCCGGAACAGAATCATGCCGCCAAATCTAACTTGCACAATAAAGCTAAAAATTTTGACAAAGTGTACCTGACTGAAATGAAGCATAGCGTTAGTTCTGTCAGGACAGAACATCAAGCACTGATCCACAGCCAATGGCTAGTAGCCACCTCAACCAGATGATAATCAGCTGATTCACACCTAGCTCCTATTGGTTCTTTGCCTATAGAGTGCCTTATTTAAATCTGCACTAACCCAGCCTCTTCCTCTGCTCTGACAGCAAACCAGCAACACACTGCCACACCAGCTCCACCCTCGTGCCAGCTAATTGCTCCGCTACCCTTGAAGCGCTCCTGTTCCGGGGGGGTTCTGTTCATTGCTGCTCTACCCCTGCCACCTCCACCTTCATGATGGCTCAAGAAGGGCAAGTTTAACAATTTCCACAACCTCAAGTTCAAAAACAACACAAACTCAAGTTCAAACACGCCACAAACTCAAGTTCAGCCAACACCCAATTCTCAAGTTCAACAATTTCCACAAACTCAAGTTCAAAAACACCACCAACTCAAGTTCAAAAACACCACAAAGTCAAGTTCAAACAAGACACAAACTCAAGTTCAATGAACACCACATACACAAGTTCAACAAATGTCAAAGTTTTAAGTTCAACCAACACCCAAATCTAAAGTTTAACAATTGCCAAAGCCTCAAGTTAGAAAAACAACAAAAATTCAGGTTAAAACACGCCACAAACTCAAGTTCAACACCGGCAAAAACTCAAGTTAAAAAACACCACAAACTCAAGTTCAAACACGACACAAACTCAAGTTCAACCAAATCCCAAATCTCAAGTTTGACAATTGCCACAACCTCAACTTCAAAAACAACAGAAACTCAAGTCAAAACACGCCACAAACTCAAGTTAAACAAACACACAAACTCAAGTTCAAAAACACCACCAACTCAAGTTCAACCAACACCCAAATCTCAAGTTTAACAATTGCCACAAATTTAAATTCAAAAAACACACAAAAATTCAAACTAAAGTTCAGGGAAAAATACAGACTCAAGTTCAACAATTGCCACAAACTCAAGTTCAACAAACACCACAATCTTAAGTTAAAAAAATGCCAAAATTTCAAATTCCACAAATGACCTAAACTCACATTTAACAATTGCCAAAAACTCAAGTTCAACAAACTCAAGTTCAAAAATTGCAACAAACTCAAGTTCAAAAAACACCAAAAACTCAAGTTCAAAAATGCCGAATCTGAAGTTCAACCAACACCCAAATCTCAAGTTTAACAATTGCAACAACTTCAAGTTCAAAGACAACAGAAACTCAAATTCGAAAACACCACAAACTCAAGTTCAAAAAAACACAAAAATTCAAGTTCAAAAACACCACAAACTCAAGTTAAATGAACACCACAAAGTCAAGTTCAACAAATGTCAAAGTTTTAAGTTCAACCAACACCCAAATCTAAAGATTAACAATTGCCAAAACCTCAAGTTAAAAAACAACACAAACTCAAGTTCAAACACGCGACAAACTCAAGTTTAACAATTGCCAGCAAATAAAGTTCACTAAAAACCAAAGACTCAAGTTCAAAACTCAAGTTCAAAAATTGCAACAAACTCAAGTTCAAACACGACACAAACTCAAGTTCAAACACGACACAAACTCAAGTTCAAACACGACACAAACTCAAGTTCAAACACGACACAAACTCAAGTTCAAACATGACACAAACTCAAGTTCAAACAACACCCAAATATCAAGTTTAACATTTGCCAAAACCTCAAGTTCAAAAACACCACAAACTCAAGTTCTAAACGACAAAAACTCAAGTTCAACAAACACACGAACTCAAGTTCAACAATTGCCACCAACTAATGTTCAGAGAAAAATGCAGACTCAAGGTTAACAATTGCCATAAACTCAAGTTCAACAAACACCACAAGCTTAAGTTCAAAAAATGCCAAAATTTCAAATTCAATAAATGACCTATATTAACATTAAACAATTGCCAAAAACTCAAGTTCAAAAATTGCAACAAACTCAGGTTTAAAAAGCACACAAATTCAAGTTCAAAAACACCACAAACTCAAGTTCAAAAATGCCGAAACTTAATTTCAACCAACACCCAAATCTCAAGTTTAACAATTGCCACAACCTCATGTTCAAAACAACAGAAACTCAAATTCAAAAACACCAAAAACTCAAGTTAAAAAAAACACACAAATTCAAGATCACAAAACAGCACAATCTCAAGTTCAAACACGACACAAACTCAAGTTCAACAAACACACAAACTCAAGTTTAACCAATACCCAATTCTCACGTTTAACAATTTCCACAACCTCAAGTTCAAACACGACACAAACTCAAGTTCAAACACGACAAAAACTCAAGTTCAAACACGACACAAACTCAAGTTCAAACAACACCCAAATATCAAGTTTAACATTTGCCAAAACCTCAAGTTCAAACATGACACAAACTCAAGTTCAAACAACACCCAAATATCAAGTTTAACATTTGCCAAAACCTCAAGTTCAAAAACACCACAAACTCAAGTTCTAAACGACAAAAACTTAAGTTCGACAAACACCAAAAACTCAAGTTCAAAAACACCACAAACTCAAGTTCTAAACGACAAAAACTCAAGTTCAACAAACACACAAACTCAAGTTCAACCAATGCCCACTTCGCAAGTTTAACAATTTCCACAACCTAAAGTTAAAAAAAAACAAAAACTCAAGTTCAGACACACTACAAACTCAAGTTAGAAAAACACACACTCAAGTTCAAAAATAACCAGAAAATCTAGTTCAAACACTTCACAAACTCAAGTTCAAAAACACCACAAACTCAAGTTCAACCAACACCCAAGTAACAAGTTTAACAATTGCCACAAACTTCAGTTCAAAAAACACAAAAGCTCAAGATCAAAAACACCACAAACTCAAGTTCAAACAAGATTCACAAACTCAAGTTCAACCAAATCCCAAATCTCAAGTTTAACAATTTCCACAACCTCAAGATCAAAACCAACAGAAACTCAAGTTCAAACACGCCACAAACTCAAGTACAACAAACGCCACAAACTCAAGTTCAACAATTGCCACCAACTAAAGTTCAGAGAAAAATACAGACTCAAGGTTAACAATTGCCACAAACTCAAGCTCATCAAACACCACAAGCTTAAGTTCAAAAAATGCCAAAATTTCAAATTCAACAAATGACCTATACTCACATTAAACAATTGCCAAAAACTCAAGTTCAACAAACTCAAGTTCAAAAATTGCAACAAACTCAGGTTAAAAAAAACACACAAATTCAAGTTCAAAAACACCACAAACTCAAGTTCAAAAATGCCGAAACTTAATTTCAACCAACACCCAAATCTCAAGCTTAACAATTGCCACAACCTCATGTTAAAAAACAACAGAAACTCAAATTCAAAAACACCAAAAACTCAAGTTCAAAAAAACCCACACAAATTCAAGATCACAAAACAGCACAATCTCAAGTTCAAACAAGACACAAACTCAGGTTCAACAAACACACAAACTCAAGTTTAACCAATACCCAATACTCACGTTTAACAATTTCCACAACCTCAAGTTCAAATACAACACAAACTCAAGTTCAAACACGACACAAACTCAAGTGCAGAAAACACCACAAACTCAAGTTCAACAATTGCCACCAACTAAAGTTCAGAGAAAAATACAGACTCAAGTTCAACAATTGCCACAAACTCAAGTTCAACAAATGTCACAGTTTCAAGTTCAACCAACACCCAAATCTCAAGTTTAAGAATTGCAACAACCTCAAATTCGAACATGCCAAAAACTCAAGTTCAAGAAAAACACAAACTCAAGTTCAAAAACACCACAACCTCAAGTTCAAAAAACACCACAAACTCAAGTTCAACAAACACACATACTCAAGTTCAAAAAACACACAAACTCTAGTTCAAAAAATCCAAAAACAAAAGTTCAAACAAGACACAAACTCAAGATCAACCAACACCCAAACCTCAAGTTTAACAATTGCCACAAACTCAAGTTCAAAAACACCACAACCTCAAGTTCAAAAAACACCACAAACTCAAGTTCAACAAACACACATACTCAAGATCAAAAAACACACAAACTCTAGTTCAAAAAATCCAAAAACAAAAGTTCAAACAAGACACAAACTCAAGATCAACCAACACCCAAACCTCAAGTTCAACAAATGCCACAAACTCAAGTTCAAAGATGCCACCAACTAGAGTTCACTAAAAACCACAAACTCAAGTTGAACAAAGACCACAAACTCAAGTTCAACAAACTCAAGTTCATAAATTGCCACAAACTTAAGATAAAAAAACACACAAATCAAAAACACCACAAACTCAAGTTCAAACGACACAAACTCAAGTTAAACCAACACCCAAATCTCAAGTTTAACAATTGCCACAACCTCAAGTTCAAAAACAACACAAACTCAAGTTCAAAAACACCACAAACTCAAATTCAAATAACACACAAATTCAAGTTCAACCAATACCCAATTCTCAAGTTTAACAATTTCCACAACCTTAAGTTCAAAAACAACACAAACTCAAGTTCAAAAACACCACAAACTCAAGTTCAAACATGACACAAACTCAAGTTAAAAAAAAACCACAAACTCAAGTTCAAACAACACCCGATTCTCAAGTTTAACAATTTCCACAACCTCAAGTTCAAAAAACACACAAACTCAAGTTCAAACACGCCACAACCTCAATTCAAAAAACAGCACAAACTCAAGTTCAAAACGCCACGATCTCAAGTTCAACAAACGCCACAAACTCAAGTTCAAAAACACCAGAACCTCAAGTTAAAAAAACATAATAAACTCAAGTTCAAATATTCCACAAACTCAAGTTCAATGAACACCACAAACTCAAGTTCAACCAACACCCGATTCTCAAGTTTAACAATTGCCACAACCTCAAGTTAAAAAAAACACAAACTCAAGTTCAAACACTTCACAAACTCAAGTTCAACAAACACCACAAACTCAAGTTCAACTAACGCCACAAACTCAAGTTCAACAATTGCCACCAACTAAAGTTCACTAAAAACCACACTCAAGTTCAACAATTGCCAGAAAATCAAGCCAAACAAACTCAAGTTCATAAGTTGCCACAAACTTCAAACACGACACAAACTCAAGTTCAAAAACACCACAAACTCAAGTTCAAAAACGACACAAACTCAAGTTCAACAAAAAAAACTAACTATTTAGAGTAATTTTGAGGTGTTTGAGAGGTTTTTTGTAGACTTACCCTAGTGGTCCTATGTTGTTGTTGATGTGAGGCGTTTCTTTTCCTGTAGTCTAAAATCTGTTGGAGGGGGGAAAAGGTTCCAGCTGTCCAGCCGCGGTGGCAGCGGTGTGTCTGAAGTCCGTGGTCCTCGGCGGGGGAAAGAAGATTCGCGGCAAGGTTTGCTGGGACTCGGTGCCGTCGGCGGGTCGAAGCTCGGTGGTTGGCGGCTTGGAGTGATGGAGGTGCGGCGTCTTCTTTCAGGTGGCGGCGCGGCGTCTTCCTCGAGGCGGTGGCCCGTCTTCTTGGTCCAGTGGTCAGTGCGTTGTCTCAATTACAGGAACAGGAATTGCGCTTTAGTTCACAGCACTTAAATGTGCTTTTGACAGGAGAAGACATCGCCAGAGTTGGGCTCGAGTCATGGTTTGTGCTGTTCCTCTTAGACATGGTTGTGTTCTCTTCTCGATGTTTGTATTCCAGAATAGATGTCTCTTGGTTGTATTTTAAACTTTCAAGTTGTTTTAAGTTAATTTTAAAGTGGTTTATTTGTTTTAAATTGAGTTTTGCTACATTAAATTTGTATGCAATCGCAAGGGATTGTGGGTATTTTAGTTCTGAGGGATGAGAGCCTAAGGAATCAATCTTCCTGTTACAGCAAAGGATTGTGGGTAAAACCGTGAGTGAGTGAGGTACTTCCTTTCTGGCATGAGAGCCTTGGGAATCAATCTCCCTGTTCCAGCAAAGGATTGTGGGTAAAACCGTGAGTGTGGGAGGTACATTTTTCCTGGCATGAGAACCTCAGGAGTCAGTCCTTCCTAAGAAAAAAGAGGGGAGGGGGGAAGACAAACAAAAGCACAGGAACCCTAAAATAAAATAAAATAAAATAAAACAATGAAAAAATAAAAAAATAAAAGAAGAACAAAAGTGGATTGCAAAAGGGAAAGGAGAAGAAAAAAGGAAAAAAAGAAGTGTCAAGAACAAATAGCAAAAATCAGAAGTGAGCTGAAAAACAGAGTTTGGTTCCCTAAAAGACAGACAGAAATGTAAATTTGATCAATGTCCTAAGGGAAAATCTGCACGTGTATGTGTGTTCTTTTTTGCTAGCTTAGTCTGGTGTCACTGATGGTCAGTTTTTAATAAACTTATTATTTAAATTTTTGATGAAGTTGTTTGTAGTGGGGTTAGCTGGCTAATTTTAGAGTGTTAAAAAAGATGTTAGAGGGGGAGGATTTAGGGGGCACGGCGGTTCCCCTTCAGGTCTCTCTTAATCCTCCATATAGGTGACCCAACAGGGGTTACCCCCCGGCCGGGGTAGGCCGAGGCTGAAGATCGCCTATTTGTCCTCTGTGAAGGTGAAAATAAAGGGGCAGGGGAGGGAATAAGAAAGAGGGGGTGTGTTAGAGAGAGGGGGAGAGATGAGGGAGAGAGAGAGAGAGAGAGAGAGAGAGAGGGGTGTGTGTGTGTGTGAGAGAGAGAGAGAGAGAGAGAGAAGGGAAGAGGGAGAGGGGGGTTTAAGGGAGAGGTGGAGATGGTGGAAAATAAAGATTTGTGAGGGGGATTTGGTGGCGGATGAAACATCCCATAGCTCCCCAGCTCTCACCATCCATGTGAGGAGAGTGAGCAAGGGACATAGTCCCCCAACCCGACTAGGTCTAGGCTCTGCTCTCCTCACGGTCCTCACAAGATACAAAGAGATATGTAAACGTGGAAGTGAGAGTTCTCTAGGCAGAGTTTTGGGTTTGGTTTGAGCTGAGTTGGTCAGTTGATTATTGATTACTATTTTAAGTTCTAAAAGTGGATAGAGTCAAAAAGTCACAGAGGATTGTGGTGGGAGCAGGTGGTCCATCTGGCACCATTCTGCTCATGCAGGGATTCGAGTGATAGAAAGAGAATAGATCTTGCCACTGTGACTCGCCATTGAGACTCTCCTCACCTGCTGGTTTTCATCCTCTGATAGGAGAGAGAGGTACAGATCATGAGAGAGGGAGAAAAGGAGGTAGGCAGGGTGGGGTCAGGAGTTATGTAGTGTTAGTATAGGTTCCAAGGTGGAGGATTCTTTGGAATTCACTCTCACCCTTGAAACTGGAAGATCTTAGATTCTATAAACGGGGGGGGGGGGGTTGTGTGCACAGAAGGAGCATGGGCTCAGACTATTCTCGGAATGATATTGTGACAAGTCTGTCCAAAGGCAAGTGGCTGGTTAGGTGTGGGAAAGAGATAGAGTGATAGCCCCCGCTTTCGTCAGTTGACTTGGCGGTTTGGGGTAGGCTGATCAAGGGCTTGCACTGGCCAGCGCATGTCGACCTGTCACATGTTCCAGTCGAGTCTCCGAGCTCAATCTGTGTGTAAAAATTATGTGTTGGTAGAAAGTTTAATGACTCAGCTCAGTTGGTATGCTATGCTGTCTATCTTTTAGACTATGTGTTTGTAGAGCAATATTATGTATATATTATGTTACAGGGCTAGGAAAAGGTTAGAGGTTTTTTGCATTAGGGTTAAAATCACTGTCCAAAACCTTTGTAGGAACTCTTTTCCAACCTTTTGGAGGGAGCCAGACTAAAAAAAAAAAAAAGAAAAATGAAAAAAAAGTTTTTGGGGGTGTTAAGGCTTCCTGAAGGTAATACCCAGGAATTAGGTTACGGGGCTAGGGTAAAGTTTAAGGTTTTTGGCGTATGGGTTAAAATCACTGTCCAAAACCTTTGTAGGAACTCTTTTCCAACCTTTTGGAGTTAGTGAGACCAAAAAAAAAAACGAAAAATGAAAAAAAAATTTTGGGGTGTGAAGGCTTCCTTAAGGTAATATCCGGGTATTAGTTTCGGGGCTAGGGTTAGGCTTAAGGTTTTTAGCGTTAGGGTTAAAATCACTGTGCAATATTTTTAAAGGAACATGTTTAAGATCTTTTGGAGTTAGTTAGACAAAAAAAAAACGAAAAAAAAAAAAAATTGGGGGGATGGTAGGGCTTCCTTTAGGTAATACCCGGGTATTAGGTTTAAGGGCTAGGTAAAGGTTAAAGGTTTTTGGTGTTAGGGTGAAAATCACTGTCCAAAACCTTTGAAGAAACTCTTTTCCTCTTTTCTTCTTTTGGAGTTAGTTAGACCAAAAAAAAAAAAAAAAAATGAAATAAAATTTTTTTGGGGTGTTAAGAATTCCTTGAGGTAATACCTGGGTATTAGGTTACGGGGCTGGGGTAAGGTTTAAGGTTTTTAGCGTAAGGGTTAAAATCAGTGTCCAAAACCTTTGTAGGAACTCTTTTCCAACCTTTTGGAGTTAGTTAGACCAAATAATAATGAAAAATGAAAAAAAAATATTTGGGGTTTTCGAGCTTCCCGAAGGTAATACCCGGGTATTAGGTTATGGGGCTAGGGTAAGGTTTAAGGTTTTTGGCGTTAGGGTTAAAATCACTGTCCAAAACCTTTGTAGGAACTCTTTTCCAAACTTTTGGAGTTAGTTAGACCAAAAAAAAAAACGAAAAATGAAAAAAGAATTTTGGGGGGTACTCGGGCTTCCTGAAGGTAATACCCCCGTATTAGGTTTTGGGGCTAGGGTAAGGTTTAAGGTTTTTGGCGTTAGGGTTAAAATCACTGTCCAAAACCTTTGTAGGAACTCTTTTCCAACCTTTTGGAGTTAGTTACACCAAAAAAAAAAGAAGAAAAAAGAAAAAAAAATATTTGGGGTTTTCGGGCTTCCTGAAGGTAATACCCGCGTATTAGGTTTTGGGGCTAGGGTAAGGTTTAATGTTTTTGGCGTTAGGGTTAAAATCACTGTCCAAAACCTTTGTAGGAACTCGTTTCCAACCTTTTGGAGTTAGTTACACCAAAAAAAAATGAAAAAAGAAAAAAAGAATATTTGGGGTTTTCGGGCTTCCTGAAGGTAATATACGGGTATTAGGTTATGGGGCTAGGGTACGGTTTAAGGTTTTTGGCGTTAGGGTAAATATCACTGTCCAAAACCTTTTTAGGAACTCTTTTCCAACCTTTTGGAGTTAGTTACACCAAAAAAAAAAAAAGAAAAATGAAAAAAAAAGATTTGGGGTATTCGGGCTTCCTGAAGGGAATACCCGTATTAGGTTATGGGGCTATGGTAAGATTTAAGGTTTATGGCGTGAGGGCTAAAATCACTGTCCAAAACCTTTTTAGGAACATGTTTCAGACCTTTTGGAGTTAGTTAGACCAAAAAATAACGAAAAATGAAAAAATAGAATTTTTTGGGGTACTCGGGCTTCCTGAAGGTAATACCCGGGTATTAGGTTTTGGGGCTAGGGTAAGGTTTAAGGTTTTTGGCGTTAGGGTCAAAATCACTGTCCAAATCCTCTGTAGGAACTCTTTTCAAACCTTTTGGAGTCAGTTAGACCAAAAAATAAAGGAAATTTGAAAAAAAAATATTTGCGGTTTTCGGGCCTCCTGAAGGTAATACCCGGGTATTTGGTTTTGGGGCTAGGGTAAGGTTTAAGGTTTTTGGCGTTAGGGTCAAAATCACTGTCCAAATCCTCTGTAGGAACCCTTTTCCAACCTTTTGGAGTTAGTAAGACCAAAAAAAAAAGAAAAATGAAAAAAAAATATTTGGGGTGTTCGGGCTTCCTGAAGGTAATACCCAGGTATTAGGTTATGGGGCTTTGGAAAGGTTTAAGGTTTTTGGCGTTAGGGTCGAAATCACTGTCCAAAACCTTTTTAGGAACTCTTTTCCAACCTTTTGGAGTTAGTTACACCAAAAAAAAAAAAAGAAAAATGAAAAAAAATATTTGGGGTTTTCGGGCTTCCTGAAGGTATTAGGTTTTGGGGCTAGGGTAAGGTTTAATGTTTTTGGCGTTAGGGTTAAAATCACTGTCCAAAACCTTTGTAGGAACTCTTTTCCAACCTTTTGGAGTTAGTTAGACCAAAAAAAAAAGAAAAATGAAACAAAAATATTTGGGGTGTTAGGGCTTCCTGAAGGTAATACCCCCGTATTAGGTTTTGGGGCTAGAGTAAGGTTTAAGGTTTTTGGCGTTAGGGTTAAAATCACTGTCCAAAACCTTTGTAGGAACTCTTTTCCAACCTTTTGGAGTTAGTTAGAACAAAAGAAAAAGAAAAAAGAAAAAAATATATTTGGGGTTTTCGGGCTTCCCGAAGGTAATACCCGGGTATTAGGTTATGGGGCTAGGGTAAGGTTTAAGGTTTTTGGTGTTAGGGTTAAAATCACTGTCCAAAACCTTTTTTGGAACATGTTTCAGACCTTTTGGAGTTAGTTAGACCAAAAAATAACGAAAAATGAAAAAAAAAATATTTGGGGTGTTCAGGCTTCCTGAAGGTAATACCCGGGTATTAGGTTTTGGGGCTAGGGTAAGGTTTAACGTTTTTGGCGTAAGGGTCGAAATCACTGTCCAAAACCTTTTTAGGAACTCTTTTCCAACCTTTTGGAGTTAGTTACACCAAAAAAAAAAAAAGAAAAAAGAAAAAAAAAATATTTGGGGTTTTCGGGCTTCATGAAGGGAATACCCGCGTATTAGGTTTTGGGGCTAGGGTAAGGTTTAATGTTTTTGGCGTTAGGGTTAAAATCACTGTCCAAAACCTTTTTTGGAACATGTTTCAGACCTTTTGGAGTTAGTTAGGCCAAAAAATAACGAAAAATGAAAAAAAAAATATTTGGAGTGTTCGGGCTTCCTGAAGGTAATACCCGGGTATAAGGTTTTGGGGCTAGGGTAAGGTTTAACAATTTTGGCGTTAGGGTCAAAATCACTGTCCAAATCCTTTGCAGGAACTCTTTTCCAACCTTTTGGAGTTAGTTACACCAAAAAAAAAAAAAAAAAAAACATGAAAATAAAATATTTGGGGATTTCCGGGCTTCCTGAAGGTATTAGGTTTTGGGGCTAGGGTAAGGTTTAAGGTTTTTGGCGTTAGGATCAAAATCACTGTCCAAAACCTTTGTAGGAACTCTTTTCCAACCTTTTGGAGTTAGTTATACCAGAAAAAAAAAAAAAGAAAAAAGAAAAGAAATATTTGGGGTTTTCGGGCTTCCTGAAGGTATTCGGTTTTGGGGCTAGGGAAAGGTTTAAGGTTTTTGGCGTTAGGGTTAAAATCACTGTCCAAAACCTTTGTAGGAACTCTTTTCCAACCTTTTGGAGTTAGTTACACCAAAAAAAAAAAGAGGAATGAAAAAAAAATATTTGGGGTATTCGGGCTTCCTGAAGGTAATACCCGCGTATTAGGTTTTGGGGCTAGGGGAAGGTTTAAGGTTTTTGCTGTTAGGGTTAAAATCACTGTCCAAAACCTTTGTAGGAACTCTTTTCCAACCTTTTGGAGATGGTTAGACCAAAAAAAAAAGAAAAATGAAAAAAAAATATTTGGGGTTTTCGGGCTTCCTGAAGGTAATACCCGTATTAGGTTACGGGGCTAGGGTAAGGTTTAAGGTTTATGCCGTTAGGGTTAAAATCACTGTCCAAAACCTTTTTTGGAACATGTTTCAGACCTTTTGGAGTTGGTTAGACCAAAAAATAACGAAAAATGAAAAAAAAAATATTTGGAGTGTTCGGGCTTCCTGAAGGTAATACCCGGGTATTAGGTTTTGGGGCTAGGGTAAGGTTTAACGTTTTTGGCGTTAGGGTCAAAATCACTGTCCAAAACATTTGTAGGAACTCTTTTCCAACCTTTTGGAGTTAGTTAGACCCAAAAAAAAAGAAAAAAGAAAAAAAATATTTGGGGTTTTCGGGCTTCCTGAAGGTATTAGGTTTTGGGAATAGGGTAAGGTTTAACGTTTTTGGCGTTAGGGTCAAAATCACTGTCGAAAACCTTTGTAGGAACTCTTTTCCAACCTTTTGGAGTTAGGTACACCAAAAAAAAAAAAAAGAAAAATGAAAAAAAATAATTGAGGTATTCGGGATTCCTGAAGGTAATACCCGTATTAGGTTATGGGGCTATGGTAAGATTTAAGGTTTTTGGCGTTGGGGTTAAAATCACTGTCCAAAACCTCTGTCGGAACTCTTTTCCAACCTTTAGGAGTTAGTTAGACCAAAAAATAACGAAAAATGAAAAAAAAAAATATTTGGGGTGTTCAGGCTTCCTCAAGGTAATTTCCGGGTATAAGTTTTGGGGCTAGGGTAAGGTTTAATGTTTTTGGCGTTAGGGTCAAAATCACTGTCCAAAACCTTTTTAGGAACTCTTTTCAACCTTTTGGAGTTAGTTACACCAAAAAAAAAAAAAGAAAAATGAAAAAAAAATATTTGGGGTATTCAGGCTTCCTGAAGGTAATACCCGGGTATTAGGTTATGGGACTATGGTAAGATTTAAGGTTTATGGCGTGAGGGCTAAAATCACTGTCCAAAACCTTTTTAGGAACATGTTTCAGACCTTTTGGAGTTAGTTAGACCAAAAAATAACGAAAAATTAAAACATAGAATTTTTTGGGGTACTCGGGCTTCCTGAAGGTAATACCCGGGTATTAGGTTTTGGGGCTAGGGTAAGGTTTAAGGTTTTTGGCGTTAGGGTCAAAATCACTGTCCAAAATCCTCTGTAGGAACTCTTTTCCAATCTTTTGGAGTCAGTTAGACCAAAAAATAAAGGAAATTTGAAAAAAAAATATTTGAGGTTTTCGGGCCTCCTGAAGGTAATACCCGGGTATTTGGTTTTGGGGCTAGGGTAAGGTTTAAGGTTTTTGGCGTTAGGGTCAAAATCACTGTCCAAATCCTCTGTAGGAACTCTTTTCCAACCTTTTGGAGTCAGTTAGACCAAAAAATAAAGGAAATTTGAAAAAAAAATATTTGGGGTTTTCGGGCCTCCTGAAGGTAATACCCGGGTATTTGGTTTTGGGGCTAGGGTAAGGTTTAAGGTTTTTGGCGTTAGGGTCAAAATCACTGTCCAAATCCTCTGTAGGAACCCTTTTCCAACCTTTTGGAGTTAGTAAGACCAAAAAAAAAAAGAAAAATGAAAAAAAAATATTTGGGGTGTTCGGGCTTCCTGAAGGTAATACCCAGGTATTAGGTTATGGGGCTTTGGAAAGGTTTAAGGTTTTTGGCGTTAGGGTCGAAATCACTGTCCAAAACCTTTTTAGGAACTCTTTTCCAACCTTTTGGAGTTAGTTACACCAAAAAAAAAAAATGAAAAATGAAAAAAAATATTTGGGGTTTTCGGGCTTCCTGAAGGTATTAGGTTTTGGGGCTAGGGTAAGGTTTAATGTTTTTGGCGTTAGGGTTAAAATCACTGTCCAAAACCTTTGTAGGAACTCTTTTCCAACCTTTTGGAGTTAGTTAGACCAAATAATAATGAAAAATGAAAAAAAAAATATTTGGGGTTTTCGGGCTTCCCGAAGGTAATACCCGGGTATTAGGTTATGGGGCTAGGGTAAGGTTTAAGGTTTTTGGTGTTAGGGTTAAAATCACTGTCCAAAACCTTTTTTGGAACATGTTTCAGACCTTTTGGAGTTAGTTAGACCAAAAAATAACGAAAAATGAAAAAAAAAATATTTGGGGTGTTCGGGGTTCCTGAAGGTAATACCCGGGTATTAGGTTTTCGGGCTAGGGTAAGGTTTAACGTTTTTGGCGTTAGGGTCGAAATCACTGTCCAAAACCTTTTTAGGAACTCTTTTCCAACCTTTTGGAGTTAGTTACACCAAAAAAAAAAAAAGAAAAAAGAAAAAAAAAATATTTGGGGTTTTCGGGCTTCATGAAGGGAATACCCGCGTATTAGGTTTTGGGGCTAGGGTAAGGTTTAATGTTTTTGGCGTTAGGGTTAAAATCACTGTCCAAAACCTTTTTTGGAACATGTTTCAGACCTTTTGGAGTTAGTTAGGCCAAAAAATAACGAAAAATGAAAAAAAAAATATTTGGAGTGTTCGGGCTTCCTGAAGGTAATACCCGGGTATAAGGTTTTGGGGCTAGGGTAAGGTTTAACAATTTTGGCGTTAGGGTCAAAATCACTGTCCAAATCCTTTGCAGGAACTCTTTTCCAACCTTTTGGAGTTAGTTACACCAAAAAAAAAAAAAAAAAAACATGAAAATAAAATATTTGGGGATTTCCGGGCTTCCTGAAGGTATTAGGTTTTGGGGCTAGGGTAAGGTTTAAGGTTTTTGGCGTTCGGATCAAAATCACTGTCCAAAACCTTTGTAGGAACTCTTTTCCAACCTTTTGGAGTTAGTTATACAAAAAAAAAAAAAAAAGAAAAAAGAAAAGAAATATTTGGGGTTTTCGGGCTTCCTGAAGGTATTCGGTTTTGGGGCTAGGGAAAGGTTTAAGGTTTTTGGCGTTAGGGTTAAAATCACTGTCCAAAACCTTTGTAGGAACTCTTTTCCAACCTTTTGGAGTTAGTTACACCAAAAAAAAAATGAGGAATGAAAAAAAAATATTTGGGGTATTCGGGCTTCCTGAAGGTAATACCCGCGTATTAGGTTTTGGGGCTAGGGGAAGGTTTAAGGTTTTTGCTGTTAGGGTTAAAATCACTGTCCAAAACCTTTGTAGGAACTCTTTTCCAACCTTTTGGAGATGGTTAGACCAAAAAAAAAAGAAAAATGAAAAAAAAATATTTGGGGTTTTCGGGCTTCCTGAAGGTAATACCCGGGTATTTGGTTTTCGGGCTAGGGTAAGGTTTAACGTTTTTGGCGTTAGGGTTAAAATCACTGTCCAAAACCTTTGTAGGAACTCTTTTCAACCTTTTGGAGTTAGTTAGACCAATAAAAAATGAAAAATGAAGAAAAAAATATTTGGGGTTTTCGGGCTTCCTGAAGGTAATACCCGGGTATTAGGTTTTGGGGCTAGGGTAAGGTTTAAGGTTTTTGGCGTTAGGGTCAAAATCACTGTCCAAAACCTTTGTAGGAACTCTTTTCCAACCTTTTGGAGTCAGTTAGACCAAAAAATAAAGGAAATTTGAAAAAAAAATATTTGGGGTTTTCGGGCTTCCTGAAGGTAATACCCGGGTATTTGGTTTTGGGGCTAGGGTAAGGTTTAAGTTTTTGGCGTTAGGGTTAAAATCACTGTCCAAAACCTTTGTAGGAACTCTTTTCCAACCTTTTGGAGTAAGTTAGACAAAAAAATAAAGGAAATTTGAAAAAAAAATATTTGGGGTTTTCGGGCTTCCTGAAGGTAATACCCGGGTATTAGGTTTTGGGGCTAGGGTAAGGTTTAAGGTTTTTGGCGTTAGGGTTAAAATCACTGTCCAAAACCTTGTAGGAACTCTTTTCCAACCTTTTGGAGTTAGTTAGACCAAAAAAAAAAGAAAAATGAAAAAAAAATATTTGGGGTGTTCGGGCTTCCTGAAGGTAATACCCGGGTATTAGGTTATGGGGCTAGGGAAAGGTTTAAGGTTTTTGGCGTTAGGGTTAAAATCACTGTCCAAAACCTTTTTAGGAACTCTTTTCCAACCTTTTGGAGTTAGTTACACCAAAAAAAAAAAAAGAAAAATGAAAAAAAAATATTTGGGGTTTTCGGGCTTCCTGAAGGTATTAGGTTTTGGGGCTAGGGGAAGGTTTAAGGTTTTTGGCGTTAGGGTTAAAATCACTGTCCAAAACCTTTGTAGGAACTCTTTTCCAACCTTTTGGAGTTAGTTAGACCAAATAATAATGAAAAATGAAAAAAAAAATATTTGGGGTTTTCGGGCTTCCTGAAGGTAATACCCGGGTATTAGGTTATGGGGCTAGGGTAAGGTTTAAGGTTTTTGGCGTTGGGGTTAAAATCACTGTCCAAAACCTTTGTAGGAACTCTTTTCCAACATTTTGGAGTTAGTTAGACCAAAAAATAACGAAAAATGAAAAAAAAAAAATATTTGGGGTGTTCGGGCTTCCTGAAGGTAATACCCGGGTATTAGGTTTTGGGGCTGGGTAAGGTTTAAGGTTTTTGGCGTTAGGGTTAAAATCACTGTCCAAAACCTTTTGTAGGAACTCTTTTCCAACATTTTGGAGTTAGTTAGACCAAAAAAAAAAAGAAAAAAGAAAAAAATATTTGGGGTTTTCGGGCTTCATGAAGGGAATACCCGCGTATTAGGTTTTGGGGCTAGGGTAAGGTTTAATGTTTTTGGCGTTAGGGTTAAAATCACTGTCCAAAACCTTTGTAGGAACTCTTTTCCAACCTTTTGGAGTTAGTTAGGCCAAAAAATAACGAAAAAAAATGAAAAAAAAATATTTGGGGTGTTCGGGCTTCCTGAAGGTAATACCCGGGTATAGGTTTTGGGGCTAGGGTAAGGTTTAAGGTTTTTGGCGTTAGGGTTAAAATCACTGTCCAAAACCTTTGTAGGAACTCTTTTCCAACCTTTTGGAGTTAGTTACACCAAAAAAAAAAAAAAAATGAAAAAAAATATTTGGGGTTTTCGGGCTTCCTGAAGGTATTAGGTTTTGGGGCTAGGGTAAGGTTTAAGGTTTTTGGCGTTGGGGTTAAAATCACTGTCCAAAACCTTTGTAGGAACTCTTTTCCAACCTTTTGGAGTTAGTTATACCAAAAAAAAAAAAAAAAAAAAGAAAAAAATATTTGGGATTTCCGGGCTTCCTGAAGGTATTCGGTTTTGGGGCTAGGGAAAGGTTTAAGGTTTTTGGCGTTAGGGTTAAAATCACTGTCCAAAACCTTTGTAGGAACTCTTTTCCAACCTTTTGGAGTTAGTTACACCAAAAAAAAAAAAAATGAAAAAAAAAATTTGGGGTTTTCGGGCTTCCTGAAGGTAATACCCGCGTATTAGGTTTTGGGGCTAGGGGAAGGTTTAAGGTTTTTGGCGTTAGGGTTAAAATCACTGTCCAAAACCTTTGTAGGAACTCTTTTCCAACCTTTTGGAGTTAGTTAGACCAAAAAAAAAAAAAAAGAAAAAAAAAATATTTGGGGTTTTCGGGCTTCATGAAGGGAATACCCGCGTATTAGGTTTTGGGGCTAGGGTAAGGTTTAATGTTTTTGGCGTTAGGGTTAAAATCACTGTCCAAAACCTTTTTTGGAACATGTTTCAGACCTTTTGGAGTTAGTTAGGCCAAAAAATAACGAAAAATGAAAAAAAAAATATTTGGGGTGTTCGGGGTTCCTGAAGGTAATACCCGGGTATTAGGTTATGGGGCTAGGGTAAGGTTTAAGGTTTTTGGTGTTAGGGTTAAAATCACTGTCCAAAACCTTTGTAGGAACTCTTTTCCAACATTTTGGAGTTAGTTAGACCAAATAATAATGAAAAATGAAAAAAAAATATTTGGGGTTTTCGGGCTTCCTGAAGGTAATACCCGGGTATTAGGTTATGGGGCTAGGGTAAGGTTTAAGGTTTTTGGTGTTAGGGTTAAAATCACTGTCCAAAACCTTTTTTGGAACATGTTTCAGACCTTTTGGAGTTAGTTAGACCAAAAAATAACGAAAAATGAAAAAAAAAATATTTGGGGTGTTCGGGCTTCCTGAAGGTAATACCCGGGTATTAGGTTTTGGGGCTAGGGTAAGGTTTAAGGTTTTTGGCGTTAGGGTCAAAATCACTGTCCAAAACCTTTTTAGGAACTCTTTTCCAACCTTTTGGAGTTAGTTACACCAAAAAAAAAAAAAGAAAAAAGAAAAAAAAAATATTTGGGGTTTTCGGGCTTCATGAAGGGAATACCCGCGTATTAGGTTTTGGGGCTAGGGTAAGGTTTAATGTTTTTGGCGTTAGGGTTAAAATCACTGTCCAAAACCTTTTTGTAGGAACTCTTTTCCAACCTTTTGGAGTTAGTTAGACCAAATAATAATGAAAAATGAAAAAAAAATATTTGGGGTTTTCGGGCTTCCTGAAGGTAATACCCGGGTATTAGGTTTTGGGGCTAGGGTAAGGTTTAAGGTTTTTGGCGTTAGGGTTAAAATCACTGTCCAAAACCTTTTTAGGAACTCTTTTCCAACCTTTTGGAGTTAGTTAGACCAAAAAATAACGAAAAATGAAAAAAAAATATTTGGAGTGTTCGGGCTTCCTGAAGGTAATACCCAGGTATTAGGTTTTGGGGCTAGGGTAAGGTTTAACGTTTTTGGCGTTAGGGTCAAAATCACTGTCCAAAACCTTTGTAGGAACTCTTTTCCAACCTTTTGGAGTTAGTTACACCAAAAAAAAAAAAAGAAAAATGAAAAAAAAAATATTTGGGGTTTTCGGGCTTCCTGAAGGTAATACCCGCGTATTAGGTTTTGGGGCTAGGGTAAGGTTTAAGGTTTTTGCCGTTAGGGTTAAAATCACTGTCCAAAACCTTTTTTGGAACATGTTTCAGACCTTTTGGAGTTAGTTAGACCAAAAAATAACGAAAAATGAAAAAAAAAATATTTGGGGTTTTCGGGCTTCCTGAAGGTAATACCCGGGTATTAGGTTTTGGGGCTAGGGTAAGGTTTAAAATTTTGGCGTTAGGGTCAAAATCACTGTCCAAAACCTTTGTAGGAACTCTTTTCCAACCTTTTGGAGTTAGTTACACCAAAAAAAAAAAAAAACATGAAAAAAAAATATTTGGGGTTTTCGGGCTTCCTGAAGGTATTAGGTTTTGGGGCTAGGGTAAGGTTTAAGGTTTTTGGCGTTAGGATCAAAATCACTGTCCAAAACCTTTGTAGGAACTCTTTTCCAACCTTTTGGAGTTAGTTATACCAAAAAAAAAAAAAAAAAAAAAAAAAGAAATATTTGGGGTTTTCGGGCTTCCTGAAGGTATTCGGTTTTGGGGCTAGGGAAAGGTTTAAGGTTTTTGGCGTTAGGGTTAAAATCACTGTCCAAAACCTTTGTAGGAACTCTTTTCCAACCTTTTGGAGTTAGTTACACCAAAAAAAAAAAAGAGAAATGAAAAAAAAGAATTTGGGGTATTCGGGCTTCCTGAAGGTAATACCCGCGTATTAGGTTTTGGGGCTAGGGGAAGGTTTAAGGTTTTTGCCGTTAGGGTTAAAATCACTGTCCAAAACCTTTGTAGGAACTCTTTTCCAACCTTTTGGAGTTAGTTAGACCAAAAAAAAAAAAGAAAAATGAAAAAAAAATATTTGGGGTTTTCGGGCTTCCTGAAGGTAATACCCGTATTAGGTTACGGGGCTAGGGAAAGGTTTAAGGTTTTTGGCGTTAGGGTTAAAATCACTGTCCAAAACCTTTGTAGGAACTCTTTTCAACCTTTTGGAGTTGGTTAGACCAAAAAAAAGAAAAATGAAAAAAAAATATTTGGGGTTTTCGGGCTTCCTGAAGGTAATACCCGGGTATTAGGTTTTGGGGCTAGGGTAAGGTTTAAGGTTTTTGGCGTTAGGGTTAAAATCACTGTCCAAAACCTTTGTAGGAACTCTTTTCCAATCTTTTGGAGTTAGTTAGACTAATAAAAAATGAAAAATGAAAAAAAAATATTTGGGGTTTTCGGGCTTCCTGAAGGTATTAGGTTTTGGGGCTAGGGTAAGGTTTAAGGTTTTTGGCGTTAGGGTTAAAATCACTGTCCAAAACCTTTGTAGGAACTCTTTCCCAACATTTTGGAGTTAGTTAGACCAAATAATAATGAAAAATGCAAAAAAAATATTTGGGGTTTTCGGGCTTCCTGAAGGTAATACCCGTATTAGGTTTTGGGGCTAGGGTAAGGTTTAAGGTTTTTGCCGTTAGGGTTAAAATCACTGTCCAAAACCTTTGTAGGAACTCTTTTGCAACCTTTTGGAGTAAGTTAGACCAAAAAAATAAAGAAAAAAAATATTTGGGGTTTTCGGGCTTCCTGAAGGTAATACCAGGGTATTAGGTTATGGGGCTAGGGAAAGGTTTAAGGTTTTTGGCGTTAGGGTTAAAATCACTGTCCAAAACCTTTTTAGGAACATGTTTCAGACCTTTTGGAGTTAGTTAGACCAAAAAATAACGAAAAATAAAAAAAAAAAATATTTGGGGTATTCGGGCTTCCTGAAGGTAATACCCGGGTATTAGGTTTTGGGGCTAGGGTAAGGTTTAATGTTTTTGGCGTTAGGGTCAAAATCACTGTCCAAAACATTTGTAGGAACTCTTTTCCAACCTTTTGGAGTTAGTTAGACCCAAAAAAAAAAAAAAAAGAAAAAAAATATTTGGGGTTTTCGGGCTTCCGGAAGGTATTAGGTTTTGGGAATAGGGTAAGGTTTAAGGTTTTTGGCGTTGGGGTCAAAATCACTGTCCAAAACCTTTGTAGGAACTCTTTTCCAACCTTTTGGAGTTAGTTACACCAAAAAAAAAAATGAAAAATGAAAAAGAAATATTTGGGGTATTTGGGCTTCCTGAAGGTAATACCCATATTAGGTTATGGGGCTATGGTAAGGTTTAAGGTTTTTGGCGTTGGGGTTAAAATCACTGTCCAAAACCTTTGAAGGAACTCTTTTCCAACCTTTTGGATTTAGTTACACCAAAAAATAATAATGAAAAATGAAAAAAAAATATTTGGGGTTTTCGGGCTTCCTGAAGGTATTAGGTTTTGGGGCTAGGGGAAGGTTTAAGGTTTTTGGCGTTAGGGTTAAAATCACTGTCCAAAACCTTTGTAGGAACTCTTTTCCAACCTTTTGGAGTTAGTTAGACCAAAAAAAAAAAAAGAAAAAAGAAAAAAAATATTTGGGGTTTTCGGGCTTCCTGAAGGTATTACCCGGGTATTAGGTTATGGGGCTAGGGTAGGTTTAAGGTTTTTGGCGTTGGGGTTAAAATCACTGTCCAAAACCTTTGTAGGAACTCTTTTCCAACCTTTTGGAGTTAGTTAGACCAAAAAAAAAAGAAAAATGAAAAAAAAATATTTGGGGTTTTTCGGGCTTCCTGAAGGTATTAGGTTTTGGGGCTAGGGTAAGGTTTAAGGTTTTTGGCGTTAGGGTTAAAATCACTGTCCAAAACCTTTGTAGGAACTCTTTTCCAACCTTTTGGAGTTAGTTAGACCAAAAAAAAAAAAATGAAAAATGAAAAAAAAATATTTGGGGTTTTCGGGCTTCCTGAAGGTAATACCCGGGTATTAGGTTTTGGGGCTAGGGTAAGGTTTAAGGTTTTTGGCGTTAGGGTTAAAATCACTGTCCAAAACCTTTGTAGGAACTCTTTTCCAACCTTTTGGAGTTAGTTAGACCAAAAAAAAAAAAAAGAAAAAAAATATATATGTTGTGTTCGGGCTTCCTGAAGGTAATAACCGGGTATTTGGTTATGGGGCTAGGGTAAGGTTTAAGGTTTTTGGCGTTAGGGTTAAAATCACTGTCCAAAACCTTTTGAGGAACATGTTTCAGACCTTTTGGAGTTGGTTACACCAAAAAACAATTTAAAATGAAAAAAGTATATTTGGGGTTTTCGGGCTTCCTGAAGGTAATACCCGGGTATTAGGTTTTGGGGCTAGGGTAAGGTTTAAGGTTTTTGGCGTTAGGGTTAAAATCACTGTCCAAAACCTTTGTAGGAACTCTTTTCCAACCTTTTGGAGTTAGTTACACCAAAAAAAAAAAGAAAAAAGAAAAAAAATATTTGGGGTTTTCGGGCTTCCTGAAGGTATTAGGTTTTGGGGCTAGGGGAAGGTTTAAGGTTTTTGGCGTTAGGGTTAAAATCACTGTCCAAAACCTTTGTAGGAACTCTTTTCCAACCTTTTGGAGTTAGTTAGACCAAAAAAAAAAAGAACAAAGAAAAAATATATTTGGGGTTTTCGGGCTTCCTGAAGGTAATACCCGGGTATTAGGTTTTGGGGCTAGGGTAAGGTTTAAGGTTTTTGGCGTTAGGGTTAAAATCACTGTCCAAAACCTTTGTAGGAACTCTTTTCCAACCTTTTGGAGTTAGTTAGACCAAAAAAAAAGAAAAAAGAAAAAAATATTTGGGGTTTTCTGGCTTCCTGAAGGTATTAGGTTTTGGGGCTAGGGGAAGGTTTAAGGTTTTTGGCGTTAGGGTTAAAATCACTGTCCAAAACCTTTGTAGGAACTCTTTTCCAACCTTTTGGAGTTAGTTAGACCAAAAAAAAAGAAAAAGAAAAAAAATATTTGGGGTTTTCGGGCTTCCTGAAGGTAATACCCGGGTAATTAGGTTTGGGGCTTGGGTAGGTTTAAGGTTTTCTGGCGTTGGGGTTAAAATCACTGTCCAAAACCTTTGTAGGAACTCTTTTCCAACCTTTTGGAGTTAGTTACACCAAAAAAAAAAAGTGGAAAAATGAAAAAAAAATATTTGGGGTTTCCGGGCTTCCTGAAGGTAATAGGTTTTGGGGCTAGGGGAAGGTTTAAGGTTTTTGGCGTTAGGGTCAAAATCACTGTCCAAAACCTTTGTAGGAACTCCTTTCCAACATTTGGAGTTAGTTACACCAAAAAAAAAAAAGTGGAAAAATGAAAAAAAAATATTTGGGGTTTCCGGGCTTCCTGAAGGTAATAGGTTTTGGGGCTAGGGTTTAAGGTTTTTGGCGTTAGGGTCAAAATCACTGTCCAAAACCTTTGTAGGAACTCTTTTCCAACATTTGTGAGTTAGTTAGACCAAAAAAAAATATGAAAAATGAAAAAAAAAATACTTGGGGTGTTCGGGCTTTCTGAAGGTAATACCCGGGTATTAGGTTATGGGGCTAGGGTAAGGTTTAAGGTTTTTGGCGTTAGGGTCAAAATCACTGTCCAAAACCTTTGTAGGAACTCTTTTCCAACCTTTTGGAGTTAGTTAGACCAAATAATAATGAAAAATGAAAAAAAAATATTTGGGGTATTTGGGCTTCCTGAAGGTAATACCTGTATTAGGATATGGGGCTATGGTAAGATTTAAGGTTTTTGGCTTTAGGGGCTAAAATCACTGTCCAAAACCTTTTATGAACATGTTTCAGACCTTTTGAGGTTGGTTATACCAAAACAAAATGTAAAATGAAAAAAAATATTTGGGGTTTTCGGGCTTCCTGGAGGTAATACCCGGGTATTAGGTATTGGGGCTAGGGTAAGGTTTAAGGTTTTTGGCGTTAGGGTCAAAATCACTGTTCAAAACCTTTGTAGGAACTCTTTTCCAACATTTTGGAGTTAGTTAGACCAAAAAAAAAAAATATATATATATATATATATATATATATTTGGGATGTTCGGGCTTCCTGAAGATAATACCCGGGTATTAGGTTATGTGGCTATGATAAGATTTAAGTTTTTTGGCGTGAGGGCTAAAATCACTGTCCAAAACCTTTTTAGGAACATGTTTCAGACCTTTTGGAGGTTGGTTACACCAAAACAAAATGTAAAATGAAAAAAAAATTTTGGGGTGTTCGGACTTCCTGAAGGTAATACCCGGGTATTTGGTTTTGGGGCTAGGGGAAGGTTTAAGGTTTTTGGCGTTAGGGTTAAAATCACTGTCCAAAACCTTTGTAGGAACTCTTTTCCAACCTTTTGGAGTTAGTTAGACCAAAAAAAAAAAAAAAATGAAAAAAAAATATTTGGGGTTTTCGGGCTTCCTGAAGGTAATACCCGGGTATTAGGTTATGGGGGTAGGGTAGGTTTAAGGCTTTTGGCGTTGGGGTTAAAATCACTGTCCAAAACCTTTGTAGGAACTCTTTTCCAACCTTTTGGAGTTAGTTAGACCAAAAAAAAAATGAAAAATGAAAAAAAAATATTTGGGGTTTTCGGGCTTCCTGAAGGTATTAGGTTTTGGGGCTAGGGTAAGGTTTAAGGTTTTTGGCGTTAGGGTCAAAATCACTGTCCAAAACCTTTTTAGGAACTCTTTTCCAACCTTTTGGAGTTAGTTACACAAAAAAAAAAGAAAAATGAAAAAAAAATATTTTGTGTTTTCAGGCTTCCTGAAGGTAATATCCGGGTAATAGGTTATGGGGCTTGGGTAGGTTTAAGGTTTTCTGCGTTGGGGTTAAAATCACTGTCCAAAACCTTTGTAGGAACTCTTTTCCAACCTTTTGGAGTTAGTTAGACCAAAAAAAAAAAAAAAAAAAAAAAAATATTTGGGGTTTTCGGGCTTCCTTAACGTAATACCCAGGTATTAGGTCATGGGGCTAGGGTAGGTTTAAGGTTTTTGGCGTTGGGGTTAAAATCACTGTCCAAAATCTTTGTAGGAACTCGTTTCCAACCTTTTGGAGTTAGTTACACCAAATAATAATGAAAAATGAAAAAAAAATATTTTGGGTTTTCGGGCTTCCTGAAGGTAATACCCGTATTAGGTTATGGGTGTAGGGTAAGGTTTAAGGTTTTTGGCGTTAGGGTCAAAATCACTGTCCAAAACCTTTGTAGGAACTCTTTTCCAACATTTGTGAGTTAGTTAGACCAAAAAAAAATATGAAAAATGAAAAAAAAAATACTTGGGGTGTTCGGGCTTTCTGAAGGTAATACCCGGGTGTTAGGTTATGGGGCTAGGGTAAGGTTTAAGGTTTTCTGCGTTGGGGTTAAAATCACTGTCCAAAACCTTTGTAGGAACTCTTTTCCAACCTTTTGGAGTTAGTTACACCAAAAAAAAAAAGTGGAAAAATGAAAAAAAAATATTTGGGGTTTCCGGGCTTCCTGAAGGTAATAGGTTTTGGGGCTAGGGTTTAAGGTTTTTGGCGTTAGGGTCAAAATCACTGTCCAAAACCTTTGTAGGAACTCTTTTCCAACATTTGTGAGTTAGTTAGACCAAAAAAAAATATGAAAAATGAAAAAAAAAATATTTGGGGTGTTCGGGCTTCCTGAAGGTAATACCCGGGTATTAGGTTATGGGGCTAGGGTAAGGTTTAAGGTTTTTGGCGTTAGGGTTCAAATCACTGTCCAAAACCTTTGTAGGAACTCTTTTCCAACCTTTTGGAGTTAGTTAGACCAAATAATAATGAAAAATGAAAAAAAAATATTTGGGGTATTTGGGCTTCCTGAAGGTAATACCTGTATTAGGATATGGGGCTATGGTAAGATTTAAGGTTTTTGGCTTGAGGGCTAAAATCACTGTCCAAAACCTTTTATGAACATGTTTCAGACCTTTTGAGGTTGGTTATACCAAAACAAAATGTAAAATGAAAAAAAATATTTGGGGTTTTCGGGCTTCCTGGAGGTAATACCCGGGTATTAGGTATTGGGGCTAGGGTAAGGTTTAAGGCTTTTGGCGTTAGGGTTAAAATCACTGTCCAAAACCTTTTTTGGAACTCTTTTCCAACCTTTTGGAGTTAGTTAGACCAAAAAAAAAAGAAAAATGAAAAAAAAAATATTTGGAGTGTTCAGGCTTCCTGAAGGTAATACCCGGGTATAAGATTTTGGGGCTAGGGTAAGGTTTAACGTTTTTGGCGTTAGGGTCAAAATCACTGTCCAAAACCTTTGTAGGAACTCTTTCCCAACATTTTGGAGTTAGTTAGACCAAATAGTAATGAAAAATGAAAAAAAAATATTTGGGGTTTTCGGGCTTCCTGAAGGTAATACGGGTATTAGGGTATTAGGTTTTGGGGCTAAGGTAAGGTTTAAGGTTTATGGCGTTAGGGTTAAAATCACTGTCCAAAAACTTTTTAGGAACTCTGTTCCAACCTTTTGCAGTTAGTTTGACCAAAAAATAAAGGAAAATTGAAAAATAAATATTTGGGGTTTTGGGGCTTCCTGAAGGTAATACCCGGGTATTTGGTTTTGGTGCTAGGGTAAGGTTTAAGGTTTTTGGCGTTAGGGTCAAAATCACTATCCAAAACCTCTGTAGGAACTCTTTTCCAACCTTTTGGAGTTAGTTAGACCAAAAAAAATGAACAATGAAACAAAAATATTTGGGGTGTTCGGGCTTCCTGAAGGTAATTCCCAGGTATTAGGTTATGGGACTTTGGAAAGGTCTTAGGTTTTTGGCGTTAGGGTCAAAATCACTGTCCAAAACCTTTGTAGGAACTCTTTTCCAACATTTGTGAGTTAGTTAGACCAAAAAAAAATATGAAAAATGAAAAAAAAAATACTTGGGGTGTTCGGGCTTTCTGAAGGTAATACCCGGGTATTAGGTTATGGGGCTAGGGTAAGGTTTAAGGTTTTTGGCCTTAGGGTTAAAATCACTGTCCAAAACCTTTTAAGGAACATGTTTCAGACCTTTTGGAGTTAGTTAGACCAAAAAAAAAAAAGAAAAGAAAAAAAAATATTTGGGGTTTTCGGGCTTCCTGAAGGTAATAAAATTAGGTATTAGGTTTTGCGGCTAGGGAAAGGTTTAAGGTTTTTGGCGTTAGGGTTAAAATCACTGTCCAAAACCTTTTTAGGAACATGTTTCAGACCTTTTGGAGTTAGTAAGACCAAAAAATAACGAAAAATGAAAAAAAAATATTTGGGGTTTTCGGGCTTCCTGAAGGTAATACCCGGGTATTAGGTTTTGGGGCTAGGGGAAGGTTTAAGGTTTTTGGCGTTAGGGTTAAAATCACTGTCCAAAACCTTTGTAGGAACTCTTTTCCAACCTTTTGGAGTTAATTAGACCAAAAAAAATGAAAAATGAAAAAAAAATATTTGGGGTTTTCGGGCTTCCTGAAGGTAATACCCGCGTATTAGGTCTTGGGGCTAGGGGAAGGTTTAAGGTTTTTGGCGTTAGGGTTAAAATCACTGTCCAAAACCTTTGTAGGAACTCTTTTCCAACCTTTTGGAGTTAGTTAGACCAAATAATAATGAAAAATGAAAAAAAAATATTTGGGGTATTCGGGCTTCCTGAAGGTAATACCCGGGTATTAGGTTTTGGGGCTAGGGAAAGGTTTAAGGTTTTTGGCGTTAGGGTTAAAATCACTGTCCAAAACCTTTTTAGGAACATGTTTCAGACCTTTTGGAGTTAGTAAGACCAAAAAATAACGAAAAATGAAAAAAATAAATATTTGGGGTGTTCGGGCTTCCTGAAGGTAATACCCGGGTATTAGGTTTTGGGGGTAGGGAAAGGTTTAAGGTTTTTGGCGTTAGGGATAAAATCACTGTCCAAAACCTTTGTAGGAACTCTTTTCCAACCTTTTGGAGATGGTTTGACCAAAAAAAAAGAAAAAAGAAAAAAAAAATATTTGGGGTTTTCGGGCTTCCTGAAGGTAATACCAGCGTATTAGGTTTTGGGGCTAGGGTAAGGTTTAAGGTTTTTGGCGTTAGGGTTAAAATCACTGTCCAAAACCTTTGTAGGAACTCTTTTCCAACCTTTTGGAGTTAGTTAGACCAAAAAAAAAAAAAAAAAATGAAAAAAAAATATTTGGGGTTTTCGGGCTTCCTGAAGGTATTAGGTTTTGGGGCTACGGGAAGGTTTAAGGTTTTTGGCGTAAGGGTTAAAATCACTGTCCAAAACCTTTGTAGGAACTCTTTTCCAACATTTTGGAGTTAGTTAGTCCAAATAATAATGAAAAATGAAAAAAAAATATTTGGGGTTTTCGGGATTCTTGAAGGTATTAGGTTTTGGGGCTACGGGAAGGTTTAAGGTTTTTGGCGTTGGGGTTAAAATCACTGTCCAAAACCTTTGTAGGAACTCTTTTCCAACCTTTTGGAGTAAGTTTCACCGAAAAAAAACAATGAAAAATGAAAAAAAAATATTTGGGGTTTTCGGGCTTCCTGAAGGTATTACCCGGGTATTAGGTTTTGGGGCTAGGGGAAGGTTTAAGGTTTTTGGCGTTAGGGTTAAAATCACTGTCCAAAACCTTTGTAGGAACTCTTTTCCAACATTTTGGAGTTAATTAGACCAAATAATAATGAAAAATGAAAAAAAAAAAATTGGGGTTTTCGGGATTCCTGAAGGTAATACCCGCGTATTAGGTTTTGGGGCTAGGGGAAGGTTTAAGGTTTTTGGCGTTAGGGTTAAAATCACTGTCCAAAACCTTTGTAGGAACTCTTTTCCAACCTTTTGGAGTTAGTTAGACCAAAAAAAAAAAAAAAAAGAAAAAAAATATTTGGGGTTTTCGGGCTTCCTGAAGGTAATACCCGGGTATTTGGTTTTGGGGCTAGGGTAAGGTTTAACGTTTTTGGCGTTAGGGTTAAAATCACTGTCCAAAACCTTTGTAGGAACTCTTTTCCAACCTTTTGGAGTTAGTTAGACCAATAAAAAATGAAAAATGAAGAAAAAATATTTGGGGTTTTCGGGCTTCCTGAAGGTATTAGGTTTTGGGGCTAGGGGAAGGTTTAAGGTTTTTGGTGTTAGGGTTAAAATCACTGTCCAAAACCTTTGTAGGAACTCTTTCCCAATATTTTGGAGTTAGTTAGACCAAATAATAATGAAAAATGCAAAAAAAATATTTGGGGTTTTCGGGCTTCGTGAAGGTAATACCCGCGTATTTGGTTTTGGGGCTAGGGTAAGGTTTAATGTTTTTGGCGTTGGGGTTAAAATCACTGTCCAAAACCTTTGTAGGAACTCTTTTCCAACCTTTTGGAGTAAGTTAGACCAAAAAAAAAAAGAAAAGAAAAAAAAATATTTGGGGTTTTCGGGCTTCCTGAAGGTAATACCAGGTTATTAGGTTATGGGGCTAGGGTAAGGTTTAAGGTTTTTGGCGTTAGGGTTAAAATCACTGTCCAAAACCTTTTAAGGAACTCTTTTCAGACCTTTTGGAGTAAGTTAGACCAAAAAATAAAAAAGAAAAGAAAAAAAAATATTTGGGGTTTTCGGGCTTCCTGAAGGTAATACCCGGGTATTAGGTTTTGGGGCTAGGGAAAGGTTTAAGGTTTTTGGCGTTAGGGTTAAAATCACTGTCCAAAACCTTTTTAGGAACATGTTTCAGACCTTTTGGAGTTAGTAAGACCAAAAAATAACGAAAAATGAAAAAAAAAATATTTGGGGTGTTCGGGCTTCCTGAAGGTAATACCCGGGTATTAGGTTTTGGGGCTAGGGAAAGGTTTAAGGTTTTTGGCGTTAGGGTTAAAATCACTGTCCAAAACCTTTGTAGGAACTCTTTTCCAACCTTTTGGAGTTAGTTAGACCAAATAATAATGAAAAATGAAAAAAAAAATATTTGGGGTATTCGGGCTTCCTGAAGGTAATACCCGGGTATTTGGTTTTCGGGCTATGGTAAGGTTTAAGGTTTTTGGCGTTAGGGTCAAAATCACTGTCCAAAACCTTTGTAGGAACTCTTTTCCAACCTTTTGGAGTTAGTTAAACCAAAAAAAAAAAAGAAAAAAGAAAAAAAATATTTTGGGTTTTTGGGATTCCTGAAGGTAATACCCACGTATTAGGTTTTGGGGCTAGGGGAAGGTTTAAGGTTTTTGGCGTTAGGGTTAAAATCACTGTCCAAAACTTTTGTAGGAACTCTTTTCCAACATTTTGGAGGTAGTTAGACTAAATGATAATGAAAAATGCAGAAAAAATATTTGGGGTTTTCGGGCTTCCTGAAGGTAATACCCGCGTATTAGGTTTTGGGGCTACGGTAGGTTTAAGGTTTTTGGCGTTGGGCTTAAAATCACTGTCCAAAACCTTTGTAGGAACTCTTTTCCAACCTTTTGGAGATAGTTACACCAAAAAAAACAAAAAAAAAATGAAAAAAATATATTTGGGGTTTTCGGGCTTCTTGAAGGTATTAGGCTTTGGGGCTACGGGAAGGTTTAAGGTTTTTGGCGTAAGGGTTAAAATCACTGTCCAAAACCTTTGTAGGAACTCTTTTCCAACCTTTTGGAGTTAGTTACACCAAATAATAATGAAAAATGAAAAAAAAATATTTGGGGTTTTCGGGATTCCTGTAATACCCGGTATTAGTTTATGGGGCTAGGGTAAGGTTTAAGGTTTTTGGCGTTAGGGTTAAAATCACTGTCCAAAACCTTTGTAGGAACTCTTTTCCAACCTTTTGGAGTTAGTTAGACCAAAAAAAAATGAAAAATGAAAAAAAAATATTTGGGGTTTTCGGGCTTCCTGAAGGTAATACCCGGGTATTAGGTTTTGGGGCTAGGGGAAGGTTTAAGGTTTTTGGCGTTAGGGTTAAAATCACTGTCCAAAACCTTTGTAGGAACTCTTTTCCAACCTTTTGGAGTTAGTTAGACCAAAAAAAATGAAAAAATGAAAAAAAAAAATTTGGGGTTTTCGGGCTTCCTGAAGGTAATACCCGGTATTAGGTTTTGGGAATAGGGTAAGGTTTAACGTTTTTGGCGTTAGGGTCAAAATCACTGTCCAAAACCTTTGTAGGAACTCTTTTCCAACCTTTTGGAGTTAGTTACACCAAAAAAAAAAAAATGAAAAATGAAAAAGAAATATTTGGGGTATTTGGGCTTCCTGAAGGTAATACCCATATTAGGTTATGGGGCTATGGTAAGATTTAAGGTTTTTGGCGTGAGGGCTAAAATCACTGTCCAAAACCTTTGTAGGAACTCTTTTCCAACCTTTTGGATTTAGTTACACCAAAAAATAATAATGAAAAATGAAAAAAAAATATTTGGGGTTTTCGGGCTTCCTGAAGGTATTAGGTTTTGGGGCTAGGGGAAGGTTTAAGGTTTTTGGCGTTGGGGTTAAAATCACTGTCCAAAACCTTTGTAGGAACTCTTTTCTAACCTTTTGGAGTTAGTTAGACCAAAAAAAAAAAAAGAAAAAAGAAGAAAAATATTTGGGGTTTTCCGGCTTCCTGAAGGTATTACCCGGGTATTAGGTTTTGGGGCTAGGTTAGGTTTAAGGTTTTTGGCGTTGGGGTAAAATCACTGTCCAAAACCTTTGTAGGAACTCTTTTCCAACCTTTTGGAGTTAGTTAGACCAAAAAATAAAGAAAAATGAAAAAAAAATATTTGGGTTTTTCGGGCTTCCTGAAGGTATTAGATTTTGGGGCTAGGGTAAGGTTTAAGGTATTTGGCGTTAGGGTTAAAATCACTGTCCAAAACCTTTGTAGGAACTCTTTTCCAACATTTTGGAGTTAGTTAGACCAAAAAAAAAATGAAAAATGAAAAAAAAATACTCGGGGTATTAGGGCTTCCTGAAGGTAATACCCGGGTATAAGGTTTTGGGGCTTGGGTAAGGTTTAAGGTTTTTGGCGTCAGGGTTAAAATCACTGTCCAAAACCTTTGTAGGAACTCTTTTCGAACCTTTTGGTGTTAGTTAGACCCAAAAAAAAAAGAAGAAAAAAAAACAATATATATATGTTGTGTTCGGGCTTCCTGAAGGTAATAACCGGGTATTTGGTTATGGGGCTAGGGTAAGGTTTAAGGTTTTTGGCGTTAGGGTTAAAATCACTGTCCAAAACCTTTTGAGGAACATGTTTCAGACCTTTTGGAGTTGGTTACACCAAAAAACAATTTAAAATGAAAAAAGTATATTTGGGGTTTTCGGGCTTCCTGAAGGTAATTCCCGGGTATTAGGTTTTGGGGCTAGGGTAAGGTTTAAGGTTTTTGGCGTTAGGGTTAAAATCACTGTCCAAAACCTTTGTAGGAACTCTTTTCCAACCTTTTGGAGTTAGTAACACCGAAAAAAAAAGAAAAAAGAAAAAAATATTTGGGGTTTTCGGGCTTCCTGAAGGTATTAGGTTTTGGGGCTAGGGGAAGGTTTAAGGTTTTTGGCGTTGGGGTTAAAATCACTGTCCAAAACCTTTGTAGGAACTCTTTTCCAACCTTTTGGAGTTAGTTAGACCAAAAAAAAAAAGAACAAAGAAAAAAAATATTTGGGGTTTTCGGGCTTCCTGAAGGTAATACCCGGGTAATAGGTAATGGGGCTTTGGTAGGTTTAAGGTTTTCTGCGTTGGGGTTAAAATCACTGTCCAAAACCTTTGTAGGAACTCTTTTCCAACCTTTTGGAGTTAGTTACACCAAAAAAACAAAAGAAAAATGAAAAAAAAATATTTGGGGTTTCCGGGCTTCCTGAAGGTAATAGGTTTTGGGGCTAGGGTAAGGTTTAAGGTTTTTGGCGTTAGGGTCAAAATCACTGTCCAAAACCTTTGTAGGAACTCTTTTCCAACATTTGTGAGTTAGTTAGACCAAAAAAAATATGAAAATGAAAAAAAAAAATACTTGGGGAGTTCGGGCTTTCTGAAGGTAATACCCGGGTATTAGGTTATGGGGCTAGGGTAAGGTTTAAGGTTTTTGGCGTTAAGGTCAAAATCACTGTCCAAAACCTTTGTAGGAACTCTTTTCCAACATTTGTGAGTTAGTTACACCAAAAAAAAAAAAAATGAAAAATGAAAAAAAAATATTTGGGGTATTCGGGCTTCCTGAAGGTAATACCTGTATTAGGTTATGGGGCTATGGTAAGATTTAAGGTTTTTGGCTTGAGGGCTAAAATCACTGTCCAAAACCTTTTATGAACATGTTTCAGACCTTTTGAGGTTGGTTACACCAAAACAAAATGTAAAATGAAAAAAAATATTTGGGGTTTTCGGGCTTCCTGGAGGTAATACCCGGGTATTAGGTATTGGGGCTAGGGTAAGGTTTAAGGTTTTTGGCGTTAGGGTCAAAATCACTGTCCAAAACCTTTGTAGGAACTCTTTTCCAACATTTTGGAGTTAGTTAGACCAAAAAAAAAAAAAAAAAGAAAAAAATATATATATTTGGGATGTTCGGGCTTCCTGAAGGTAATACCCGGGTATTAGGTTATGGGGCTATGATAAGATTTAAGTTTTTTGGCGTGAGGGCTAAAATCACTGTCCAAAACCTTTTTAGGAACATGTTTCAGACCTTTTGAGGTTGGTTACACCAAAACAAAATGTAAAATGAAAAAAAAATTTGGGGGTGTTCGGACTTCCTGAAGGTAATACCCGGGTATTTGGTTTTGGGGCTATGGTAAGGTTTAAGATTTTTGGCGTTAGGGTTAAAATCACTGTCCAAAACCTTTGTAGGAACTCTTTTCCAACCTTTTGGAGTTAGTTAGACCAAAAAAAAAAGAAAAAAGAAAAAAAATATTTGGGGTTTTCGGGCTTCCTGAAGGTAATACCCGGGTATTAGGTTATGGGGGTAGGGTAGGTTTAAGGTTTTTGGCGTTGGGGTTAAAATCACTGTCCAAAACCTTTGTAGGAACTCTTTTCCAACCTTTTGGAGTTAGTTAGACCAAAAAAAAAAAAGAAAAATGAAAAAAAAATATTTGGGGTTTTCGGGCTTCCTGAAGGTATTAGGTTTTGGGGCTAGGGTAAGGTTTAACGTTTTTGGCGTTAGGGTCAAAATCACTGTCCAAAACCTTTTTAGGAACTCTTTTCCAAACTTTTGGAGTTAGTTACACCAAAAAAAAAAATGAAAAATGAAAAAAAAATATTTTGTGTTTTCAGGCTTCCTGAAGGTAATATCCGGGTAATAGGTTATGGGGCTTGGGTAGGTTTAAGGTTTTCTGCGTTGGGGTTAAAATCACTGTCCAAAACCTTTGTAGGAACTCTTTTCCAACCTTTTGGAGTTAGTTAGACCAAAAAAAAAAGAAAAAAGAAAAAAAATATTTGGGTTTTTGGGCTTCCTGAAGGTATTAGGTTTTGGGGCTAGGGGAAGGTTTAAGGTTTTTGGCGTTAGGGTTAAAATCACTGTCCAAAACCTTTGTAGGAACTCTTTTCCAACCTTTTGGATTTAGTTAGACAAAAAAAAAAAAAGAAAAAAGAAAAAAAATATTTGGGGTTTTCGGGCTTCCTGAAGGTATTACACGGGTATTCGGTTATGGGGCTAGGGGAAGGTTCAAGGTTTTTGGCGTTAGGGTTAAAATCACTGTCCAAAACCTTTGTAGGAACTCGTTTCCAACCTTTTGGAGTTAGTTACACCAAATAATAATGAAAAATGAAAAAAAAATATTTTGGGTTTTCGGGCTTCCTGAAGGTAATACCCGCGTATTAGGTTTTGGGGCTAGGGTAAGGTTTAAGGTTTTTGGCGTTAGGGTTAAAATCACTGTCCAAAACCTTTGTAGGAAATCTTTTCCAACCTTTTGGAGATGGTTAGACCAAAAAAAAAAGAAAAAAGAAAAAAAAATATTTTGGGTTTTCGGGCTTCCTGAAGGTAATACCGCGTATTAGGTTTTGGGGCTAGGGTAAGGTTTAAGGTTTTTGGCGTTAGGGTTAAATTCACTGTCCAAAACCTTTTTTGGAACTCTTTTCCAACCTTTTGGAATTAGTTAGACCAAAAAATAACGAAAAATGAAAAAAAAATATATTTGGAGGGTTCGGGCTTCCTGAAGGTAATACCCGGGTATAAGATTTTGGGGCTAGGGTAAGGTTTAACGTTTTTGGCGTTAGGGTCAAAATCACTGTCCAAAACCTTTGTAGGAAATCTTTCCCAACATTTTGGAGTTAGTTAGACCAAATAATAATGAAAAATGAAAAAAAAATATTTGGGGTTTCGGGCTTCCTGACGGTAATACCCGGGTATTAGGTTTTGGGGCTAGGGTAAGGTTTAAGGTTTTTGGCGTTAGGGTTAAAATCACTATCCAAAAACTTTTTAGGAACTCTTTTCCAACCTTTTGGAGTTAGTTTGACCAAAAAATAAAGGAAAATTGAAAAATAAATATTTGGGGTTTTGGGGCTTCCTGAAGGTAATACCCGGGTATTTGGTTTTGGTGCTAGGGTAAGGTTTAAGGTTTTTGGCGTTAGGGTCAAAATCACTATCCAAATCCTCTGTAGGAACTCTTTTCCAACCTTTTGGAGTTAGTTAGACCAAAAAAAATGAACAATGAAACAAAAATATTTGGGGTGTTCGGGCTTCCTGAAGGTAATTCCCAGGTCTTAGGTTATGGGACTTTGGAAAGGTCTTAGGTTTTTGGCGTTAGGGTTAAAATCACTGTTCAAAACCTTTGTAGGAACACTTTTCCAACCTTTTGGAGTTAGTTATACCAAAAAAAAAGAAAAAAGAAAAAAATATTTGGGGTTTTCGGGCTTCCTGAAGGTATTAGGTTTTGGGGCTAGGGGAAGGTTTAACGTTTTTGGCGTTGGGGTTAAAATCACTGTCCAAAACCTTTGTAGGAACTCTTTTCCAACCTTTTGGAGTTAGTTAGACCAAAAAAAAAAAGAACAAAGAAAAAAAATATTTGGGGTTTTCGGGCTTCCTGAAGGTAATACCCGGGTAATAGGTTATGGGGCTTGGGTAAGGTTTAAGGTTTTCTGCGTTGGGGTTAAAATCACTGTCCAAAACCTTTGTAGGAACTCTTTTCCAACCTTTTGGAGTTAGTTACACCAAAAAAAAAAAAAAATGAAAAAAAAAAATATTTGGGGTGTTAGGGCTTCCTGAAGGTAATACCCGGGTATTAGGTTATGGGGCTATGATAAGATTTAAGGTTTTTGGCGTGAGGGCTAAAATCACTGTCCAAAACCTTTTTAGGAACATGTTTCAGACCTTTTGAGGTTGGTTACACCAAAACAAAATGTAAAATGAAAAAAAATATTTGGGGTGTTCGGGCTTCCTGAAGGTAATACCCGGGTATTAGGTTTTGGGGCTAGGGTAAGGTTTAAGGTTTTTGGCGTTAGGGTTAAAATCACTGTCCAAAACCTTTGTAGGAACTCTTTTCCAACCTTTTGGAGTTAGTTAGACCAAAAAAAAAAAAGAAAAAAGAAAAAAAATATTTGGGGTTTTCAGGCTTCCTGAAGGTAATACCCGGGTATTAGGTTATGGGGCTAGGGTAAGGTTTAAGGTTTTTGGCGTTAGGGTTAAAATCACTGTCCAAAACCTTTGTAGGAACTCTTTTCCAACCTTTTGGAGTTAGTTAGACCAAAAAAAAAAATGAAAATGAAAAAAAAATATTTGGGGTTTTCGGGCTTCCTGAAGGTAATACCCGGGTATTAGGTTTTGGGGCTAGGGTAAGGTTTAAGTTTTTGGCGTTAGGGTTAAAATCACTGTCCAAAACCTTTGTAGGAACTCTTTTCCAACCTTTAGGAGTTAGTTAGACCAAAAAAAAAAAATGAAAAATGAAAAAAAAATATTTGGGGTTTTCGGGCTTCCTGAAGGTATTAGGTTTTGGGGCTAGGGTAAGGTTTAAGGTTTTTGGCGTTAGGCTCAAAATCACTGTCCAAAACCTTTGTAGGAACTCTTTTCCAATATTTTGTAGTTAGTTAGACCAAAAAAAAACGAAAAATGAAAAAAAAAAATATTTGGGGTGTTCCGGCTTCCTGAAGGTAATACCCGGGTATTAGGTTATGGGGCTAGGGTAAGGTTTAAGGTTTTTGGCGTTAGGGTCAAAATCATTGTCCAAAACCTTTGTAGGAACTCTTTTCCAACCTTTTGGAGTTAGGTTACACCAAAAAAAAAGTAAAATGAAAAAAAAATATTTGGGGTTTATGGGCTTCCTGAAGGTAATACCCGGGTATTAGGTTTTGGGGCTAGGGTAAGGTTTAAGGTTTTTGGCGTTAGGGTTAAAATCACTGTCCAAAACCTTTGTAGGAACTCTTTTCCAACCTTTTGGAGTTAGTTAGACCAAAAAAAAACGAAAAATGAAAAATATATATTTGGGATGTTCGGGCTTCCTGAAGGTAATACCCGGGTATTAGGTTATGGGGCTATGGGTAAGGTTTAAGTTTTTTGGCGTTAGGGTTAAAATCACTGTCCAAAACCTTTGTAGGAACTCTTTTCCAACCTTTTGGAGTTAGTTACACCAAAAAAAATGAAAAATGAAAAAAAAATATTTGGGGTGTTCGGGCTTCCTGAAGGTAATACCCGGGTATTAGGTTTTGGGGCTAGGGGAAGGTTTAAGGTTTTTGGCGTTAGGGTTAAAATCACTGTCCAAAACCTTTGTAGGAACTCTTTTCCAACCTTTTGGAGTTAGTTAGACCAAAAAAAAATGAAAAATTAAAAAAAAAAATATTTGGGGTTTTCGGGCTTCCTGAAGGTAATACCCGGTATTAGGTTATGGGGCTAGGGTAAGGTTTAAGGTTTTTGGCGTTAGGGTTAAAATCACTGTCCAAAACCTTTGTAGGAACTCTTTTCCAACCTTTTGGAGTTAGTTAGACCAAAAAAAAAAAAAATGAAAAAAAAATATTTGGGGTGTTCGGGCTTCCTGAAGGTAATACCCTGGTATTAGGTTTTGGGGCTAGGGTAAGGTTTAACGTTTTTGGCGTTATGGTCAAAATCACTGTCCAAAACCTTTGTAGGAACTCTTTTCCAACCTTTTGGAGTTAGTAAGACTAATAAAAAATGAAAAATGAAAAAAAAATATTTGGGGTTTTCGGGCTTCCTGAAGGTATTACCCGGGTATTAGGTTTTGGGGCTAGGGAAAGGTTTAAGGTTTTTGGCGTTAGGGTCAAAATCACTGTCCAAAACCTTTGTAGGAACTCTTTTCCAACCTTTTGGAGTTAGTTAGACCAAAAAATGAAAAATGAAAAAAAAATATTTGGGGTGTTCGGGCTTCCTGAAGGTAATACCCGGGTATTAGGTTTTGGGGCTAGGGTAAGGTTTAAGGTTTTTGGCGTTAGGGTTAAAATCACTGTCCAAAACCTTTTTAGGAACTCTTTTCCAACATTTTGGAGTTAGTTACACCAAAAAAAAAAAAATGAAAAATGAAAAATTTTTTGGGGGGGTATTCGGGCTTCCTGAAGGTATTACCCGTATTAAGTTATGGGGCTATGGTAAGATTTAATGTTTTTGGCGTTAGGGATAAAATCACTGTCCAAAACCTTTTTAGGAACTCTTTTCCAACCTTTTGGAGTTGGTTACACCAAAACAAAATGTAAAATGAAAAAAAAAATATTTGGGGTGTTCGGGCTTCCTGAAGGTAATACCCGGGTATTAGGTTTTGGGGCTAGGGTAAGGTTTAAGGTTTTTGGCGTTAGGGTCAAAATCACTGTCCAAAACCTTTGTAGGAACTCTTTTCCAACCTTTTGGAGTTAGTTAGACCAAAAAAAAAAAGAACAAAGAAAAAAAATATTTGGGGTTTTCGGGCTTCCTGAAGGTAATACCCGGGTAATAGGTTATGGGGCTTGGGTAAGGTTTAACGTTTTTGGCGTTAGGGTCAAAATCACTGTCCAAAACCTTTGTAGGAACTCTTTTCCAACCTTTTGGAGTTAGTTAGACCAAAAAAAAAAGAAAAAAGAAAAAAAAATATTTGGGGTTTTCGGGCTTCCTGAAGGTATTAGGTTTTGGGGCTAGGGTAAGGTTTAAGGTTTTTGGCGTTAGGGTTAAAATCACTGTCCAAAACCTTTGTAGGAACTCTTTTCCAACCTTTTGGAGTTAGTTACACCAAAAAAAAAAAAATGAAAAATGAAAAAAAAAATATTTGGGGTGTTCGGGCTTCCTGAAGGTATTAGGTTTTGGGGCTAGGGTAAGGTTTAAGGTTTTTGGCGTTAGGGTTAAAATCACTGTCCAAAACCTTTGTAGGAACTCTTTTCCAACCTTTTGGAGTTAGTTAGACCAAAAAAAAAATGAAAAATGAAAAAAAAATATTTGGGGTGTTCGGCTTCCTGAAGGTAATACCCGGGTATTAGGTTTTGGGGCTAGGGTAAGGTTTAAGGTTTTTGGCGTTAGGGTTAAAATCACTGTCCAAAACCTTTGTAGGAACTCTTTTCCAACCTTTTGGAGTTAGACCAAAAAAAATGAAAAATGAAAAAAAAATATTTGGGGTTTTCGGGCTTCCTGAAGGTAATACCCGGGTATTAGGTTATGGGGCTAGGGTAAGGTTTAAGGTTTTTGGCGTTAGGGTTAAAATCACTGTCCAAAACCTTTGTAGGAACTCTTTTCCAACCTTTTGGAGTTAGTTAGACCAAAAAATAACGAAAAAATGAAAAAAAAAATATTTGGGGTGTTCGGGCTTCCTGAAGGTAATACCCGGGTACTAGGTTTTGGGGCTAGGGTAAGGTTTAAAATTTTGGCGTTAGGGTCAAAATCACTGTCCAAAACCTTTTTAGGAACTCTTTTCCAACATTTTGGAGTTAGTTACACCAAAAAAAAAGAAATGAAAAATGAAAAAAATTTTTTGGGGGTATTCGCGCTTCCTGAAGGTATTACCCGTATTAGGTTTTGGGGCTATGGTAAGGTTTAAGGTTTTTGGCGTTAGGGTTAAAATCACTGTCCAAAACCTTTGTAGGAACTCTTTTCCAACCTTTTGGAGTTAGTTAGACCAAAAAAAAAATGTAAAATGAAAAAAAAATATTTGGGGTGTTCGGGCTTCCTGAAGGTAATACCCGGGTATTCGGTTTTGGGGCTAGTGTAAGGTTTAAGGTTTTTTGCGTTAGGGTCTAAATCACTGTCCAAAAACTTTTTAGGAACTCTTTTCCAACCTTTTGGAGTTAGTTAGACCAAAAAAATAAGAACAAAGAAAAAAAATATTTGGGGTTTTCGGGCTTCCTGAAGGTATTACCCGGGTATTAGGTTATGGGGCTTGGGTAGGTTTAAGGTTTTCTGTGTTGGGGTTAAAATCACTGTCCAAAACCTTTGTAGGAACTCTTTTCAAACCTTTTGGAGATGGTTAGACCAAAAAAAAAAAGAAAAAAGAAAAAAAGATATTTGGGGTTTTCGGGCTTCCTGAAGGTATTAGGTTTTGGGGCTAGGGGAAGGTTTAAGGTTTTTGGCGTTAGGGTTAAAATCACTGTCCAAAACCTTTGTAGGAACTCTTTTCCAACCTTTTGGAGTTAGTTAGACCAAAAAAAAAAGGAAAAATGAAAAAAAAAATATTTGGGGTTTTCGGGCTTCCTGAAGGTATTAGGTTTTGGGGCTAGGGTAAGGTTTAAGGTTTTTGGCGTTAGGGTTAAAATCACTGTCCAAAACCTTTGTAGGAACTCTTTTCCAACCTTTTGGAGTTAGTTAGACCAAAAAAAAACGAAAAATGAAAAAAAAAAATATTTGGGGTGTTCCGGCTTCCTGAAGGTAATACCCGGGTATTAGGTTATGGGGCTAGGGTAAGGTTTAAGGTTTTTGGCGTTAGGGTCAAAATCATTGTCCAAAACCTTTTTAGGAACATGTTTCAGACCTTTTGAGGTTGGTTACACCAAAACAAAAAGTAAAATGAAAAAAAATATTTGGGGTATATGGGCTTCCTGAAGGTAATACCCGGGTATTAGGTTTTGGGGCTAGGGTAAGGTTTAAGGTTTTTGGCGTTAGGGTCAAAATCACTGTCCAAAACCTTTGTAGGAACTCTTTTCCAACCTTTTGGAGTTAGTTAGACCAAAAAAAATGAAAAATGAAAAAAAAATATTTGGGGTGTTCGGGCTTCCTGAAGGTAATACCCGGGTATTAGGTTATGGGGCTATGGGTAAGGTTTAAGTTTTTTGGCGTTAGGGCTAAAATCACTGTCCAAAACCTTTTTAGGAACATGTTTCAAATCTTTTGAGGTTGGTTACACCAAAACAAAATGTAAAATGAAAAAAAATATTTGGGGTGTTCGGGCTTCCTGAAGGTAATACCCGCGTATTAGGTTTTGGGGCTAGGGTAAGGTTTAAGGTTTTTGGCGTTAGGGTCAAAATCACTGTCCAAAACCTTTGTAGGAACTCTTTTCCAACCTTTTGGAGTTAGTTAGACCAAAAAAAAATGAAAAATTAAAAAAAAATATTTGGGGTTTTCGGGCTTCCTGAAGGTAATACCCGGGTATTAGGTTTTGGGGCTAGGGTAAGGTTTAAGGTTTTTGGCGTTAGGGTTAAAATCACTGTCCAAAACCTTTGTAGGAACTCTTTTCCAACCTTTTGGAGTTAGTTAGACCAAAAAAAATGAAAAATGAAAAAAAAAATATTTGGAGTGTTCGGGCTTCCTGAAGGTAATACCCGGGTATTAGGTTTTGGGGCTAGGGTAAGGTTTAAGGTTTTTGGCGTTAGGGTTAAAATCACTGTCCAAAACCTTTGTAGGAACTCTTTTCCAACCTTTTGGAGTTAGTTAGACCAAAAAAAATGAAAAATGAAAAAAAAATATTTGGGGTTTTCGGGCTTCCTGAAGGTAATACCCGGGTATTAGGTTTTGGGGCTAGGGTAAGGTTTAAGGTTTTTGGCGTTAGGGTTAAAATCACTGTCCAAAACCTTTGTAGGAACTCTTTTCAGACCTTTTGGAGTTAGTAAGACCAAAAAATTACGAAAAATGAAAAAAAAAATATTTGGGGTGTTCGGGCTTCCTGAAGGTAATACCCGGGTACTAGGTTTTGGGGCTAGGGTAAGGTTTAAAATTTTGGCGTTAGGGTCAAAATCACTGTCCAAAACCTTTTTAGGAACTCTTTTCCAACATTTTGGAGTTAGTTACACCAAAAAAAAAAAAATGAAAAATGAAAAATTTTTTGGGGGGGTATTCGGGCTTCCTGAAGGTATTACCCGTATTAGGTTATGGGGCTATGGTAAGATTTAATGTTTTTGGCGTTAGGGATGAAATCACTGTCCAAAACCTTTTTAGGAACATGTTTCAGACCTTTTGAGGTTGGTTACACCAAAACAAAATGTAAAATGAAAAAAAATTTTTTGGGGTGTTCGGGCTTCCTGAAGGTAATACCCGGGTATTCGGTTTTGGGGCTAGTGTAAGGTTTAAGGTTTTTTGCGTTAGGGTCTAAATCACTGTCCAAAAACTTTTTAGGAACTCTTTTCCAACCTTTTGGAGTTAGTTAGACCAAAAAAATAAGAACAAAGAAAAAAAATATTTGGGGTTTTCGGGCTTCCTGAAGGTATTACCCGGGTATTAGGTTATGGGGCTTGGGTAGGTTTAAGGTTTTCTGTGTTGGGGTTAAAATCACTGTCCAAAACCTTTGTAGGAACTCTTTTCAAACCTTTTGGAGTTAGTTAGACCAAAAAAAAAATGAAAAATGAAAAAAAAATATTTGGGGTTTTCGGGCTTCCTGAAGGTATTAGGTTTTGGGGCTAGGGGAAGGTTTAAGGTTTTTGGCGTTAGGGTTAAAATCACTGTCCAAAACCTTTGTAGGAACTCTTTTCCAACCTTTTGGAGATGGTTAGACCAAAAAAAAAAAGAAAAAAGAAAAAAAAATATTTGGGGTTTTCGGGCTTCCTGAAGGTAATACCCGTATTAGGTTTTGGGGCTAAGGTTAGGTTTAACGTTTTTGGCGTTAGGGTCAAAATCACTGTCCAAAACCTTTGTAGGAACTCTTTTCCAACCTTTTGGAGTTAGTTAGACCAAAAAAAATGAAAAATGAAAAAAAAATATTTGGGGTTTCGGGCTTCCTGAAGGTAATACCCGGGTTTTGGTGCTAGGGGAAGGTTTAAGGTTTTTGGTGTTAGGGTTAAAATCACTGTCCAAAACCTTTGTAGGAACTCTTTACCAACATTTTGGAGTTAGTTAGACCAAAAAATAATGAAAAATGCAAAAAAATTATTTGGGGTTTTCGGGCTTCGTGAAGGTAATACCCGCGTATTTGGTTTTGGGGCTTGGGTAAGGTTTAATGTTTTTGGCGTTAGGGTTAAAATCACTGTCCAAAACCTTTGTAGGAACTCTTTTCCAACCTTTTGGATTTAGTTAGACCAAAAAAAATGAAAAATGAAAAAAAAAATATTTGGGGTTTTCAGGCTTCCTAAAAGTAATACCCGGGTATTAGATTTTAAGGCTAGGGTAAGGTTTAAGGTTTTTGGCGTTAGGGTTAAAATCACTGTCCAAAACCTTTGTAGGAACTCTTTTCCAACCTTTTGGAGTTAGTTAGACCAAAAAAAATGAAAAATGAAAAAAAAAAATATTTGGGGTGTTCGGGCTTCCTGAAGGTAATACCCGGGTATTAGGTTATGGGGCTATGGTAAGGTTTAAGGTTTTTGGCGTTAGGGTTAAAATCACTGTCCAAAACCTTTGTAGGAACTCTTTTCCAACCTTTTGGAGTTAGTTAGAACAAAAAAAAATGAAAAATGAAAAAAAGAAATTTGGGGTGTTCGGGCTTCCTGAAGGAAATAATTAGGTTATGGGGCTATGGTAAGGTTTAAGGTTTTTGGCGTTAGGGTTAAAATCACTGTCCAAAACCTTTGTAGGAACTCTTTTCCAACCTTTTGGAGTTAGTTAGACCAAAAAAAAATGAAAAATGAAAAAAAAAATATTTGGGGTTTTCGGGCTTCCTGAATGTAATTACCCGGGTATTAGATTTTAAGGCCAGGGTAAGGTTTAAGTTTTTTGGCATTAGGGTTAAAATCACTGTCCAAAACCTTTGTAGGAACTCTTTTCCAACCTTTTTGAGTTGGTTACACCAACAAAAATGTAAAATAAACAAAAAATATTTGGGGTGTTCGGGCTTCCTGAAGGTAATACCCGGGTATTAGGTTATGGGGCTATGGTAAGGTTTAAGGTTTTTGGCGTTAGGGTTTAAATCACTATCCAAAACCTTTGTAGGAACTGTTTTCCAACCTTTTGGAGTTGGTTACTCATACAAAAATGTAAAATGAAAAAAAAAAAATATTTGGGGTTTTCGGGCTTCCTGAATGTAATACCCGGGTATTAGATTTTAAGGCTAGGGTAAGGTTTAAGGTTTTTGGCGTTAGGGTTAAAATCACTGTCCAAAACCTTTGTAGGAACTCTTTTCCAACCTTTTGGAGTTAGTAAGACCAAAAAAAAAAGTAAAATGAAAAAAAAATATTTGGGGTGTTCAGGCTTCCTAAAAGTAATACCCGGGTATTAGGTTATGGGGCTATGGTAAGGTTTAACGTTTTGGCGTTAGGGTTAAAATCACTGTCCAAAACCTTTGTAGGAACTCTTTTCCAAAGTTTTGGAGTCGGTTAGACAAAAAATAAATGTAAAATGAAAAAAATATATATTTGGGGTTTTCGGGCTATTTGAAAATAATAATTGGTATTAGGTTTTGGGGCTAGGTCAAGGTTTAAGGTTTTTGGCGTTAGGGTTAAAATGACTGTCCAAAACCTTAGTAGGAACTCTTTTCCAACCTTTTGGAGTTGGTTACACCAACAAAAATGTAAAATGAAGAAAAAAATATTTGGGGTTTTCGGGCTTCCTGAAGGTAATACCTGGGTATTAGATTTTAAGGCTAGGGTAAGGTTTAAGGTTTTTGGCGTTAGGGTTAAAATCACTGTCCAAAACCTTTGTAGGAACTCTTTTCCAACCTTTTGGAGTTAGTTAGACCAAAAAAAATGAAAAATGAAAAAAAAATATTTGGGGTTTTCGGGCTTCCTGAAAGTAATACCCGGGTATTAGGTTTTGGGCTAGGGTAAGGTTTAAGGTTTTTGGCGTTAGGGTTAAAATCACTGTCCAAAACCTTTGTAGGAACTCTTTTCCAACCTTTTGGAGTTAGTTAGACCAAAAAAATAAGAAAAATGAAAAAAAAATATTTGGGGTGTTCAGGCTTCCTAGAAGTAATACCCGGGTATTAGGTTGTGGGGCTATGGTAAGGTTTAACGTTTTTGGCGTTAGGGTTAAAATCACTGTCCAAAACCTTTGTAGGAACTCTTTTCCAACCTTTTGGAGTTAGTTAGACCAAAAAAAAATGAAAAATGAAAAAAAAAATATTTGGGGTTTTCGGGCTTCCTGAATGTAATACCCGGGTATTAGATTTTAAGGCTAGGGTAAGGTTTAAGTTTTTTGGCGTTAGGGTTAAAATCACTGTCCAAAACCTTTGTAGGAACTCTTTTCCAACCTTTTGGAGTTGGTTTCACCAACAAAAATGTAAAATGAAAAAAAGAATATTTGGGGTTTTCCGGCTTCCTAAATATAATACCCGGGTATTAGATTTTAAGGCTAGGGTAAGGTTTAAGTTTTTTGGTGTTAGGGTTGAAATCACTGTCCAAAACCTTTGTAGGAACTCTTTTCCAATTTTTTGGAGTTAGTTAGACCAAAAAAAAAAGAAAAATAAAAAAAAATATTTCGGGTGGTCAGGCTTCCTCAAAGTAATACCCGGGTATTAGGTTTTGGGGTTAGGGAAAGGTCTAAGGTTTTTGGCGTTAGGGTTAAAATCACTGTCCAAAACCTTTGTAGGAACTCTTTTCCAACCTTTTGGAGTTGGTTACACTAACAAAAATGTAAAATGAAAAAAAAATATTTGGTGTGTTCGGGCTTCCTGAAGGTAATACCCGGGTATTAGATTTTAAGGCTAGGGTAAGGTTTAAGTTTTTTGGAGTTAGGGTTAAAATCACTGTCCAAAACCTTTGTAGGAACTTTTTCCAACCTTTTGGAGTTGGTTACACCAACAAAAATGTAAAATGAAAAAAAAATATATTTGGGGTGTTCGGGCTTCCTGAAGGTAATACCCGGGTATTAGGTTTTGGGGCTAGGGTAAGGTTTAAGGTTTTTGGCGTTAGGGTTAAAATCACTGTCCAAAACCTTTGTAGGAACTCTTTTCCAACCTTTTGGAGTTAGTTAGACCAAAAAAAGAATGAAAAATGAAAAAAAATATTTGGGGTTTCCGGGCTTCCTTAATTAATACCGGTATTAGATTTTAAGGCCAGGGTAAGGTTTAAGTTTTTTGGCATTAGGGTTAAAATCACTGTCCGAAACCTTTGTAGGAACTCTTTTCCAACCTTTTGGAGTTAGTTAGACCAAAAAAAAATGAAAAATGAAAAAAAAAATATTTGGGTTTTACGGGCTTCCTGAATGTAATACCCAGGTATTAGATTTTAAGGCTAGGGTAAGGTTTAAGTTTTTTGGCGTTAGGTTTAAAATCACTGTCCAAAACCTTTGTAGGAACTCTTTTCCAACCTTTTGGATTTAGTTAGAACAAAAAAAAATGAAAAATGAAAAAAAAAATATTTGGGGTGTTCAGGCTTCCTGAATGTAATACCCGGGTATTAGGTTTTGGGGCTAGGGTAAGGTTTAAGGTTTTTGACATTAGGGTTAAAATCACTGTCCAAAACCTTTGTAGGAACTCTTTTCCAACCTTTCTGAGTTGGTTACACCAACAAAAATGTAAAATGAAAAAAAAATATTTGGGGTGTTCGGGCTTCCTGAAGGTAATACCCGGGTATTAGGTTATGGGCTAGGGTAAGGTTTAAGGTTTTTGGCGTTAGGTTTAAAATCACTGTCCAAAACCTTTGTAGGAACTCTTTTCCAACCTTTTGGAGTTGGTTACACCAACAAAAATGTAAAATGAAGAAAAAAATATTTGGGGTGTTCGGGTTTCCTGAAGGTAATACCTGGGTATTAGATTTTAAGCTAGGGTAAGATTTAAGGTTTTTGGTGTTAGGGTTAAAATCACTGTCCAAAACCTTTGTAGGAACTCTTTTCCAACCTTTTGGAGTTGGTTACACCAACAAAAATGTAAAATGAAAAAAAAAAATATTTGGGGTGTTCAGGCTTCCTGAAGGTAATACCCGGGTATTAGGTTTTGGGGCTATAGTAAGGTTTAACGTTTTTGGCGTTATGGTTAAAATCACTGTCCAAAACCTTTGTAGGAACTCTTTTCCAACCTTTTGGAGTTAGTCTGACCAGAAAAAATGAAAAAAGAAAAAAAAATATTGGGCGTGTTCGGTTTTCCTGAAGGTAATACCTGGATATTAGGTTTTGGGGCTAGGGTAAGGTTTAAGGTTTTTGGCGTTATGGTTAAAATCACTGTCCAAAACCTTTGTAGGAACTCTTTTCCAACCTTTTGGATATAGTTAGACCAATAAAAAATGAAAAAAAAAAAATATTTTGGGTTTTCTGGCTTCCTGAAGGTAATACCCTGGTACTAGTTCATGGTGCTATGGTAAGGTTTAAGGTTTTTGGCGTTAGGTTTAAAATCACTGTCCAAAACCTTTGTAGGAACTCTTTTCCAACCTTTTGGAGTTAGTTAAACAAAAAAAAAAATGAAAAATGAAAAAAAAATATTTGGGGTTTTCAGGCTTCCTAAAAGTAATAACCGGGTATTAGGTTTTGGGGCTATGGTAAGGTTAAAGGTTTTTGGCATTAGGGTTAAAATCACTGTCCAAAGCCCTTGTAGGAACTCTTTTCCAACCTTTTGGAGTTGGTTACACCAACAAAAATTTAAAATGAAGAAAAAAAATATTTTGGGTTTTCTGGCTTCCTGAATGGAATACCCGGGTATTATGTTTTGGGGCTAGGGAAAGGTTTAAGGTTTTTGGCGTTAGGGTTAAAATCACTGTCCAAAAACTTTGTAGGAACTCTTTTCCACCTTTTGGAGTTGGTTACACCAACAAAAATGTAAAATTAAAAAAATATATTTGGGGTGTTCGGGCTTCCTGAAGGTAATACCCAGGTATTAGGTTTTGGGGCTAGGGTAAGGTTTAAGGTTTTTGGCATTAGGGTTAAAATCACTGTCCAAAACCTTTGTAGGAACTCTTTTCCAACCTTTTGGAGTTAGTTAGACAAAAAAAAAAAAAAGAAAAAAGAAAAAAAAATATTTGGGGTTTTCGGGCTTCCTGAAGGTAATACCCGGGAATTAGGTTATGGGGCTATGGTAAGGTTTAAGGTTTTTGGCGTTAGGTTTAAAATCACTGTCCAAAACCTTTGTAGGAACTCTTTTCCAACCTTTTGAGTTAGTTAGACCAAAAAAAAAAAGAAAAACAACAAAAAAAAAAATTTGGGGTGTTCGGGCTTCCTGAAGGTAATACCCGGGTGTTAGGTTAGTTCAACAAAGTTCAACAACACCACAAACTCAAGTTCAAACATGACACGAACTCAAGTTCAAACACGACACAAACTCAATCTCAAAAACACCATGAACTCAAGTTCAAACACAACACAAACTAAAGTTCAACAAACACAAAAACTCAAGTTCAAAAACTCCACAAAGTCAAGTTCAAACACAACATAAACTCAAGTTCAACAAACACACAAACTCAAGATCAAACATGACACAAAATCAAGTTCAACCAACACCCAAATCTCAAGTTTAACAATTGCCACAATCTCAAGTTAAACAAACAAACAAACTTAAGTTCAAACATGACACAAACTCAAGTTCAACAAACACACAAACTCAAGTTTAACAATTGCCACAACCTCAAGTTCAACAAATTCCACAAACTCAAATTCAAACACAACACAATCTCAAGTTCATCCAACACCAAAATCTCAAGTTTAACAATTGCCACAACCTCAAGTTCAACAAACACACAAACTCAAGTTCAACAAATGCCACAAATTCAAATTCAAACACGAAAAAAAACACGAAAGTTCAAAAACACCAAAAACTCAATTTCAAACACAACACAAACTCAAGTTTAACAAACACACTAACTCAAGTTCAACAGACAACTGATTCTAAAGTTTAACAATTTCCACAACCTCAAGTTCAAAAACACCACAAAGGCAAGTTCAAAAACGACACAAACTCAAGTTCAACAAATGCCCAAAACTCAAATTCAAACACGAAACAAACTCAAGTTAAAAAACACTACAAACTCAAGTTCAAAAACACCACAAACGCAAGTTCAAAAACGACACAAACTCAAGTTTAACAAATGCCAAAAACTCATATTCAAACACCAAACAAACTCAAGTTAAAAAACACCACAAACTCAAGTTCAAACACAACACAAACTCAAGTTCAACAAACACACAAACTCAAGTTTAACAATTGCCACAACCTCAAGTTCAAACAATTCCCCACCCTCAAGATCAAAATCACCACAAACTCAAGTTCAAACACGACACAAACTCAAGTTCAACAAATGCCAAAAACTCAAATTCAAACACGAAACAAACTCAAGTTAAAAAATACCACAAACTCAAGTTCAAACACAACACAAAGTCATGTTCAACAAACACACAAAGTCAAGTTCAAACATCACAAACTAAAGTTCAACAAACACACAAACTCAAGTTTAACAATTGCCACAACCTCAAGTTCAAGCAATTCCATACCCTCAAGTTCAAAAACTTCACAAACTCAAGTTCAAACACGACACAAACTAAAGTTAAACAAATGTCCAAAACTCAAATTCAAACACGAAACAAACTCAAGTTAAAAAACACCACAAACTAGAGTTCAAACACAACACTCAATCAAGTTAAACAAACACACATCTCAAGTTCAAAAACACCACAAACTCAAGTTCAAACACGACACAAACTCAAGTTCAAAAAATGCCAAAAACTCATATTCAAACACCAAACAAACTCAAGTTAAAAAACACCACAAACTCAAGTTCAAACACAACACAAACTCAAGTTCAACAAACACACAAATTCAAGTTCAAAAACACCACAAACTCAATTGTAAACACGACACAAACTCAAGTTCAACAAACTCAAGTTCAAACACAACACAGAGTTCAAATAACACACAAAGTCAAGTTCAACAAACCAACAAAGTCAAGTTCAAAAACACCACAAACTCAAGATGAAATGCACAACAAACTCAAGTTCAAACATGACAAAACTCAAGTTCAACCCAGCCACAAACTCAAGTTCAAACGCGAAACAAACTCAAGTTCAAAAACACCACAAACTCAAGTTCAAACACAAAAAAACTCAAGTTCAACAAACACACAGACTCAAGTTAAAACACATCACAAACTCAAGTTAAAAAAACACTACAAACTCAAGTTCAAAAACGGAACAAACTCAAGTTCCAAAACACCACAACCTCAAGTTCAAAGAAACAAACAAACTCAAGTTCAACCAACGCGACAAACTCAAGTTTAACATATGCAACCAATTAAAGTTCACTAAAAACCACAGATTCAAGATTAATAATTGCCACAACCTCAAGTTCAACAATTAAACAAACTCAAGTTTAAACACACCACAAACTCAAGTTCAAACATGAAACAAACTCAAGTTAAAAAAAACACACACAAACTCAAGTTCAACAAACAACACAAACTCAAGTACAAACATGACACAAATTCAAGTTCAAACACACCACAAACTCAAGTTCAACCAAGACCCAAATCTCAAGTTTAACAAATTCCACACCCTCAAGTGCAAAAACACAACACCCTCAAGTTCAAAAACAACACATACTCAAGTTCAAAAACACCACAAACTCAAGTTCAAAAACACAAGAAACTCAAGTTCAAACACGACAAACTCAAGTTCAAACATGACACAAACTCAAGGTCAACAATCAAACAAACTCAAGTTCAACAAAAACACAAAATCAAGTTCAAAAACACTACAAACTCAAGTTCAAACACAACACAAACTGAAGTTCAACAAACACACAAACTTAAGTTCAAAAACACCACAAACTCAAGTTGAAACATGACACAAACTCAAATTCAACAAACACAAAAACTCAAATTCAACCAACTCCTAATTCTCAAGTTAAATAATTTCCACAACCTTAAGTTCAAAAACGACACAAACTCAGGTTCAAAAACAACACAAACTCAAGTTCAAAAACACCAAAAACTAAAGTTCAACCAATACCCATTTCTCAAGTTTAACAATTTCCACAACCTCAAGTTAAAAAAAACACAGACTCAAGCAAAAAGACACCACAAACTCAAGTTCAAACATGAAACATACTCGTCAAAAAAACACAAAAACAAATTCAACAAACACCACAAACTCAAGTTCAAACAGAACACATACTTAAGTTCAACAAACACACAATCTCAAGTTCAATCAAAAACACCTGACTCTCAAGTTTAACAATTGCCACAACCTCAAGTTCAAAAACAACACAAACTCAAGTTCAAAAAAACACAAACTCAAGTTCGCCAAACACGCAAATTCAAGTTCAAAAACACCACAAACTCAAGTTCAACAAACACCACAAACTTAAGTTCAAACACAACACAAACTCAAGTTCAACAAACACACAAATTCAAGTTCAAAAACACCACAAACTCAATTGTAAACACGACACAATATCAAGTTCAACAAACTCAAGTTCAAACACAACACAAACTAGAGTTCAAATAACACACAGTCAAGTTCAACAAACACACAAAGTCAAGTTCAAAAACACCACACCCTCAAGTTCAAAAACACCACAAACTCAAGATCAAATACACAACAAACTCAAGTTCAAACATGACAAACTCAAGTTCAAACACGACAAAAACTGAAGTTCAACAAACACACAAACTAAAGTTCAAAAACACCACAAACTCAAGTTGAAACATGACACAAACTCAAATTCAACAAACACACAAACTCAAGTTCAACCACTACCCAATTCTCAAGTTTAACAAATTCCACACCCTCAAGTTCAAAAACTCCAAAAACTCAAGTTCAAAAACAAGACAAACACAAGTTCAAAAACGACACATACTCAAGTTCAACAAATTCCAAAATTTCAAGTTCAAACACTAAAACAAAATCAAGTTCGAAAACAACACAAACTCATGTTCAAATACAACACAAACTCAAGTTCAACAAACAAACAAACTCAAGTTCAAAAACACCAAAAACTCAAGTTGAGAAACAACACAAAATCAATTTCAACAAACACACAAACTCAAATTCAACCAACAGCTGATTCTCAAGTTTAACAAATTCAACAACCTCTTGTTCAAAAACAACAGAAACTCAAGTTCAACAAACAACATGAACTCAAGTTCAAACACGACACAAACTCAAGTTCAACCAACACCCAAATCTCAAGTTTAACAATTGGCACAACCTCAAGTTCAACAAACACCAAAAACTCAAGTTCAAACACACAACAAACTCAAGTTCAAAAAACGCCACAAACTCAAGTTCAACAATTGCCACCAATTAAAGTTCACTAAAAACCACAGATTCAATTTCAACAATTGCCACAAACTCAAGTTCAAACACACCACAAACTCAAGTTCAAATACGACACAAACTTAAGTTCAACCAACACCCAAATATCAAGTTTAACAATTGCCACAACCTCAAGTTCAACAAACACACAGTCAATTTCAACAAATGCCACAAACTCAAGTTAAAACATGAAACATACTCAAGTCAAAAAAACCCACAAAATCAAATTCAACAAACACACAAACTCAAGTTCAAAAACGAAACAAACTCAAGTTCAACAAACACACAAACTCAAGTTCAACCACTACCCAATACTTAAGTTAAAAAAAAACCACAAACTCAAGTTCAAACACGACACAAACTATAGTTCAATCAACAACCAAATCTTAAGTTTAACAATTGCCACAACCTTAAGTTCAACAACCACACAAACTCAAGTTCAACAAATGCCACAAACACAAGTTCAAAACATGAAACAAACTCATGTTCAAAAACAACACAAACTTAAGTTCAACTTAAACACAAACTCAAGTTAAACAATTGCCACAACCTCAAGTTCAACAAATTCCTCACCCTTAAATTAAAAAAAAACCACAAACTCAAGTTCAAAATCACCACAAACTCAAGTTCAAACATGACACAAACTCAAGTTCAACAAAAACCACAAACTCAAATTCAAACACGAAACTCAAGTTCAGAAACACCACCAACTCAAGTTCAACAAATTTCACAAACTCAAGTTCAACAAACACACAAAATTAAGTTAAAAAACACCAAAAACTCAAGTGCAAAAACGACACAAACTCAAGTTCAACAAACACCTCAAACTCAAGTTCACCAACCACACAAACTCAAGTTCAACAAACACCAAAAACTCAAGTTCAAACATGAAACAAACTCATGTTCAAAAACATCACAAACTTACGTTCAACAAACACAAAAACTCAAGTTCAAACATGACACAAACTCAAGTTTTACAATTGCCACAACCTCAAGTTCAACAAATTCCTCACCCTTAAATTAAAAAAAACCTCAAACTCAAGTTCAACAAACACCACAAACTCAAGTTCAACAAATGTCACAGTTTCAAGTTCAACCAACACCCAAATCTCAAGTTGAAGAATTGCAACAACCTCAAATTAAAACATGTCAAAAACTCAAGTTCTAGAAAAACACAAACTCAAGTTCAACAAACACACATACTCAAGTTCAAAAAACACACAAACTCAAGTTCAACGAACACCACATACTCAAGTTCAATAAATGTGAAAATTTTGAATTAAACAACACCCAAATCTCAAGTTTAAAAATTGCAACAACCTCAAATTCAAACAAGCTACAAACTCAAAAATCAAGTTCAACAATTGCCACCAACTAAAGTTCACTAAAAACCACAGACTCAAGTTCAACAAACACACAAACTCAAGTTCAAAAACACCACAACCTAGAGTGCAAACACGACACAAACTCAAGTAAAAAAAAACACACAAACTCAAGTGCAACATTTGCCACAAACTTAATTTCAACATAATCAAGTTCATAAGTTGCCACAAACTGATGTTTAAAAAACACACAAACTCTAGTTCAAAAAATCCAAAAACAAAAGTTCAAACAAGACGCAAACTCAAGATCAACCAACACCCAAACCTCAAGTTTAACAATTGCCACAACCTCAAGTTCAAAGACAACAGATACTTAAGTTCAAACACGCCACAAACTCAAGTTCAAACACGACACAAACTCAAGTTCAACAAACACCACAATCTTAAGTTCAACAAATTCCAAAATTTCAAGTTCAACAAATGACCTAAACTCACATTTAACAATTGCCAAAAACTAAAGTTCAACAAACTCAAGTTAAAAAAGTGCCACAAACTGAAGTTCAAAAAACACACAAACTGAAGTTCAAAAACACCACAAACTCAATTTCAAACACGATACAAACTCTAGTTCAAAAAATCCAAAAACAAAAGTTCAAACAAGACACAAACTCAAGATCAACCAACACCCAAACCTCAAGTTTAACAATTGCCACAAACTCAAGTTCAAACACGACACAAACTCAAGTTCAACAAATGCCACAAACTCAAGTTCAAACACGACACAAACTCAAGTTCAACAAATGCCACAAACTCAAGTTCAAACACATCACAAACTCAAGTTCAACAAATGCCACAAACTCAAGTTCAAAGATGCCACCAACTACAGTTCACTAAAAACCACAAACTCAAGTTGAACAAAGACCAAAAACTCAAGTTCAACAAACTCAAGTTCATAAATTGCCACAAACTTAAGATAAAAAACACACAAACTGAAATACAAACACGCCACAAACTCATTTTCAAACACGCCACAAACTCAAATTTAAAAAACACACAAATTCAAGTTCAACCAATACCCAATTCTCAAGTTTAACAATTTCCACAACCTTAAGTTCAAAAACAACACAAACTCATGTTCAAAAACACCACAAACTCAAGTTCAAACACGACACAAACTCAGGTTTAAACAACACCCGATTCTCAAGTTTAACAATTTCTACAACCTCCATTTCAAAAAACACACAAACTGAAATACAAACACGCCACAAACTCATTTTCAAACACGCCACAAACTCAAATTTAAAAAACACACAAATTCAAGTTCAACCAATACCCAATTCTCAAGTTTAACAATTTCCACAACCTTAAGTTCAAAAACAACACAAACTCATGTTCAAAAACACCACAAACTCAAGTTCAAACACGACACAAACTCAAGTTTAAACAACACCCGATTCTCAAGTTTAACAATTTCTACAACCTCCATTTCAAAAAACACACAAACTCAAGTTCAAACACGCTACAACCTCAATTCAAAAAACACCACAAACTCAAGTTCATACACGACACAAACTCAAGTTCAAAAAACAAACAAACTCAAGTTCAATCAACACCCGATTCTCAGGTTTAACAATTTCCACAACCTCAAGTTCAAAAAACACCACAAACTCAAGTTCAAACACGCCACAAACTTAAGTTAAAAAACGACACAAACTCAAGTTCAACAAACACAACAAGTCAAGTTCAAGCAACACCCGATCCTCAAGTTCAACAATATCCACAAACTTAAGTTCAAAAACACCAGAAGCTGTAGTTCAAAAAACATGATAAACTCAAGTTCAAATATGCCACAAACTCAAGTTCAATGAACACCACAAACTCAAGCTCAATGAACGCCACAAACTCAAGTTCAACAATTGCCACCAACTAAAGTTCACTAAAAACCATAGACTCAAGTTCAACAATTGCCAAAAAATCAAGCCAAACAAACTCAAGTTCATAAGTTGCCACAAACTTCAAACACGACACAAACTCAAGTTCAAAAACACCACAAACTCAAGTTCAAAAACGACACAAACTCAAGTTCAACAAACAAAACTAACTATTTAGAGTAATTTTGAGGTGTTTGAGAGGTTTTTTGTAGACTTACCCTAGTGGTCCTGAGTTGTTGTTGATGTGAGGCGTTTCTTTTCCAGTAGTCTACAATCTGTTGGAGGGGGGAAAAGGTTCCAGCTGTCCAGCCGCGGCGGCAGCGGTGTGTCTGAAGTCCCGGGTCCTCCGCGGGAAGGTTTGCTGGGACTCGGTGCTGTCGGCGGGTCGAAGCTCGGTGGTGGGCGGCTTGGAGTGATGGAGGTGCGGCGTCTTCTTTCAGTTGGCGGCGCGGCGTCTTCCTCGATGGTGGTCTGTCTTCTTGGTCCAGTGGTCAGTGCTTTGTCTCAATTACAGGAACAGGAATTGCTCTTTAGTGCACGGCACTTAAATGTGCTTTTCCCAGGGAAAGACATCCCCAGAGTTGGGCTCGAGTCATGGTTTGTGCTGTTCCTCTCAGACATGGTTGTGTTCTCTTCTCGATGTTTGTATTCCAAAATGGATGTC